AATTTTAATTTCATTCAATTAAATTGTATTTGCAAAAAAAGAAAATGGAAAATTATGTTCAAGGAAAAATTAAATTATTGATTTTAAATTTTATTAAATATTATGAATTAGAGAAGTATTGAAACTTGATAATTCTTCCTTTTTAATAAAGAAAAATTTAATTTTAATTAATTTGTAATTTTTATTATATTTATATTTAAATTAAAATATTTTTATATTTTTATTAATTTTCGTTATTTGTTAATTTCTATTAATTTTCGTTGTGCTTTTTTCTGTAAACAAAATTTCTGATTGATGATCAAATTAATAATAAAAATATACACGTATAAAAATTCAATTAAAAATAACTTTTTTACTGTAAAATTCATGAAGACAAAATTTTCGTTTAAAAAATCAAAAAAAAAAAGGAAAGAAATAAAACGATTTGTACCAGTTTTTACGAGGCTATTAAATCTAAGTTAAAATTAGGTCGTTTACATCATATATACATATAAGTTCTCATGGATTGTGTATGCGGGGATTTTTTTTTTCTTCTTTTTGAAACGAAACGAAGTAATCCTCACTGATTCGCTTCATATTTTTTTAAGACTTCTATCGCGTTGCTGCCTGTTTATAAATGTTCGTTTACTCGGAAAATATCTTTGTAAGACGATCTTGAAATACTATTTCCGCGGGGATTTAGAAATTTTTTTTTTTTTTCTTTTTTGCTCCTCTTTTTTTTGTAGATAGGCAAAGCGAGAGAAAGAGGGAGGGAAGAGAATGAAAAATAAATACAGGAAAAAGTTTAGACCCTAAAAGCAAGAATTTTCTCATTTATTTGTTTATTCTATAACAAAATCCCATAAAGAACACACATGAGGAAATAGTTTTGTATAAACGTTACGAAAATTTTCACTCAACATTTTTGGACATTTGTTTTCAATTCAAAGTCTGTTTTATATTTGATTATCTAGATTTCTTTTTTATATGGAGAAAAAGAAAAAAAAATTCTAGGCATAATAAATATTTGATAGACAAAATGTGGATTTTCGAGGAATTTTATTTAAAACTTGTGAAAATAATTAAATTCTTTCCAGGAATTTAATTGAGATTGTTACTGAAATTTATTAAATTTACTATTATTTATTTATTAAATTTACTAAAGAATTTTATTTAAATTTTTCAAATAATAATTGAATTCTATCAAGGAATTTTATTAAAAAAATTTTAATGTACTTGAATTCCTTCGAGAAATTTTATTAAAATTGTATTTGAAAATTTAAAATAATTGAATTCCTGCGAATCATTTTATATCATTTTAGAAACAATTTAATTTTTGTGAAGAATTTTATTAAAATTTTCGAAAATAATTGAAAATGCTTTCAAGAAAATTTACTAAAAGTTTTGAAAATAATTGAATTCCATCAAGAAATTTTATTAAAATTATAAATAATTGAATTCCTGTGAAGAATTTTATAACTAGTGAAAACAATTTAATTTTTAAGTCGAATTTTAGTAAAAGTTTCGAAAATATAATTGAATGCTTTCAAGAAAATTTATTAAAATTTTTAAAATAAATAAAAAATAATTGAATTCTTGTAAAGAATTTTATAACTCGTGAAATCAATTTAATTTTTGCGTCGAATTTTAGTAAAAGTTTTAAAAATATAATTGAATGCTTTCAAGAATATTTATTAAAAGTTTTAAAAATAATTGAATTTGATTAAGAAATTTGATTAAAATTGTATTTGAAAAATAAAAATAATTAAAATTCAATTTTCGCGACAAATTTTTAAAAAAATTTTGAAAATAATTGAAAATGTTTTCAAAAAAATTTACTAAAAGTTTTAAAAATAATTGAATTTGATTAAGAAATTTGATTAAAATTGTATTTGAAAAATGAAAATACATAATTGAATTCTTGTGAAAAATTTTTATATCTTTTGAAAACAATTTAATTTTTGCGACGAATTTTATTAAAATTTTTCAAAATAATTAAAAACGCTTTTAGGAAAATTTACTAAAAGTTTTAAAAATAATTCAATTCGATCAAGAAATTTTATTAAAATTTTATTTGAAAAATGAAAATAATTGAAATTCAATTTTCGCGACAAATTTTTAAAAAAATTTTGAAAATAATTGAAAATATTTTCAAAAAAATTTACTAAGAGTTTAAAAAATAATTGAATTACTTCAAGTAATTTTATTTAAATTGTATTGAAAATATTTGAATTCCTCCGATGAATTTTATTAAAAATTTTTAAAATAATTAATTTGTTTAGAAGAATTTTAGATTTATAAATTCAAAAATTTAATTTCAATTTCAATTAAAAATTTATAATTGAAAATATATTTAAAATTAATTACTTGACATTTTAAAATTTTTTTTCTATTCCAATAGTTTCATGAATCATAACAATCTGCCAGATGTTGAAAAAGAAAATATCTTTTATACAAATCTATTCGTCTAATTTTAAATTTAAAATGAAAGAGACATTTGTAAAATGTTCGAAAATCGTTTAGAGGTGAATTTATTTTTTCATTGAAATAGTAAGAATTTACCATTTTTTTTAAATTTAAAATAATTATTGAATTATAAATTTAATTTTATTTATTTAATTTATTTAATTAATTTAATTAATTAATTATTGTGGAGCAAGATTTTTTTAGGGCAAAAGAGTCCTTCTTCAAGTCACTTTTTCTTTTACTATTTTCTAAAGTGTCAAACTTTTTGACATAAATAAAAAAATAATTTTTATTCTACAATCGAAATTGAAGTAAATCGAATAAAATTCCCTTTTTCTATTCTCATACACAAGTTTACATACTTGGGAATTTATATTGAATTGCAAATCATTTTCCCAGTGTTGTAACTTTTATAAAATTTCTTTTAAAAAAAGTTTATAAATATTTTGATCGGGAATCTTCGGCATAAATTTGTATGCTTCATTTCTAATAGCAATAAATTTTTTTTCCAATAGATTTATATGTATATATCTTATTGGCGAGTTAGAGTTTCTGTGTCGAAGGTTCAATGTCCGCCTATTTATTTTCCCTTCAGTCGTGTCGAATAAGCACACACCATTCCAAATTATCAAGTGGCCTCTGTGTATACATTTGTTTTTTTTTGCAATTTTTTCAAAGATGTAAATTCATTTTTTCGGGTCTGCAAAAAAATGTAATAAACAATTTTGCTCCTTGTGCGACTTCAAATGGTGAGAGAAATTATATTTAAAAAAAAGGAAGAAGCAAAAAAAAAGAAAATGAAAAAAAAATGACGCGAAATTATTAACAGGACATGCCATTTACGGAGAGAGAGTTTCTCTGCATCCAGGCAGCGTGTCAGGGCCATTTTTTGGGTTCACCTGATAGTCCGGTTCCAACAATTTTTTTTTTCGATATTTTTTTCCACCCGTGAATCATCATCTCCACCTTACATGCGTAATTAAATGTGTTCACTTGCAAAGGAAGGTAAACGAAGTTTAAAAAAAGGAAAAAAAACCTTTTGCCGATGAATTTTTGCCTTGGTTGAAATTAATTTAAAAAAAAAGAAGAAGAATTTTTATCTTGATTAAAAAAAAGAATATTGATTAAAAATAATAATGTCTGTTTCGTGAAAGTTATCGTTAATTTATCAAATTTCTTAATTAAATCGCGATTGATGATTGTAGGGAATAATTTCTTTTTTTTCGCTTCATTTCTTTTCACTTTGAGTTCATTTTATCATTTTTTTCGTCTGATATCTTATTCAATTGCTAATGCTTCCGAATGCATAATTTTACAATTTATTTTCTTTTTAATTTAAATATTTTCGTAATTTAATTATTTGCGATTGTAATTATATTATTATTTATTATATTATATTATTGTAATTATATTTTCGTTGTAAATATTAGAATTCTTTAATATATTTTTTTATTAATTATTAATCAATAAGCAATATAATAATATAACTCTAGAATCTTGAAAAAAAACCCTTCCGTTCAGAAAAAAAACTCTTGCGCCACAAAAAAAAACCTTAGACAACGAAATAAAAATTTTGCGCAACAAAAAAAACCCTTTTGACTGCAAAGAAAAATTCTTGCGACACAAAAACTGACGGACTGCGAAAAAAAACTCTTGCGCCATAAAAAGAAAAACCTTGGAATGTGAAATAAATATTTTGGGCCATGAAAAAAACCCTTGGACTGCGAAAAAAGTCTTTCTTCTTGAAAAAACTCTTGCGCCACAAAAAAAAAACTCTTGGACAAAGAAATAAAAATTTTGCGCAACAAAAAAACCCTTTTCGAATGCAAAGAAAACTCTTACGACACAAATAAAAATCTTGGACTGCAAAAAAAAAACTTGGTCCTCAAAAAAACCCTTAGACTCCGAAATAAATATTTTGCGCCACAAAAAAACTCTTGAACTCAGAAAAAAAATCTTGCACCACAAGAGAATACTTGAACTGCAAAGAAAAATTCTTTCTTCCTGAAAAAACTCTTGCGCCACAAGAAAAAAACTCTTGGACAACGAAATAACAATTTTGCGCAACAAAAAAAACCTTTTTGACTGCAAAAAAAAAACTTCTTGCGCCACAAAAGAAACTTGTACTGCGAAAAAAAACTCTTGTTCCACAAAAAAAACCCTTAGACTCAGAAATAAATATTTTGCGCCACCAAAGAAACTCTTGAAGTGCGAAAAAAATATCTTGCATCACAAAAAAAACCCTTTTGACTACAAAGAAAATTTCTTGTACCAAAAAAAACCTGGGACTGAGAAAAAACTGTTGCGCCATTAAAAACCTTGGACTGCGAAAAAAAACTCTTAATCCACCAAAAAAAAAACCCTTAGACTCTGAAATAAATATTTTGCGCCACAAAAAAACTTTTGAATTGAGAAAAAAACTCTTGCTCCAAAAAATAACCGCTGGACTGGGAAATAAAAATTTTGCTCCTCGAAAAAAACTCTTTTTTACACCCGATCAGAAATTAAATATTGTGTAAAAAATGTATTTTAAAAAAATTGTTTTTTTCTTTTAGGGAGATGCCGGGGCAAGAGGATTTGTCGGTGATGCCGGAAGACCTGTAAGTAAAATAATTTGCTACTTCTTGTAATTTAAATTAATTTTGGAATATGTTTTTTTAATTATTTATTTAATTATATAACTCTTTTTTATTTGTTTGTCATTTATTTATTTACACATTTTAGTACATAATTATATTATTATATTATTTATTTATTTATTTATTTAATATACATTTATTTATTTATTTAAAATAAACTTTTCATTATTTTTTACTTTTATATTTTTATTATTATTCTTCTCTTATTTTATTTTTTAAGAAATCAGACTTTATTAGAAATCGATTTTTTTTAAAAAAGGATTAGAAAATATTTTTTTAGAAAAAAGTGACCACCTACCATTTTATTTTTTATTTTACTTATTTTTTTTACTTATTATATTCGTATTTTTTTTATTAATTTTACATTTTTTCTACTTTTCAATTATTTTTCTATTTCTCCTATTTTTGAGTTTTACTATTTTTTCTTTTTTTTTGAGTTGTTTTTATTTTTTCTATTTTTGAGTTTTTTTTTTATTTTTTCCATTTTTGAGTTATTTTTTATTTTCTGTATTTTTGAGTTGTTCTTTATTTTTCTATTTTAGAGTTGTTTTTTATTTTTTCTATTTTTGAGTATTTTATTATTTTCATATTTTTGCAACTATTTTTTTTACTTTTTAATTATCTTTTAATTATTCTTTTAATTATTTTTATTAATTATGAAAACAAAAAATTTTGTTTTGCAACTATTTTTTTTATTTTTTATTATTTTTGAATTATTCTTTTAATTATTTTTATTATTTAAGGAATCAAAAATTGTGAGAAATAATTTTTTTTCTAGGGAATGATGGGCACTGCTGGTTTGAGAGGTCCAGATGGTTTGGAAGGTTGTAATGGAACCGATGGAACAATGGGTGGACCCGGAAGATCGGGTCATTATGGTGAACGAGGTCTTCCTGGTGGGCCAGGAAGTTATGGACCACGTGGTGAACCCGGAGAAGGCGGTGTCAATTCAAAGGGGAGCAAGGGAATCAGAGGAGAATTTGGAATTGATGGTCTTGAGGTAATTTTTTTACTATTAAATAATTTACTATTTTTTTATTTATTATTTATTTTCTAAATTTATTTTATAAATAATAATTCCAATTTTATTTAAAAAATCCTAATTAATTCTTTTGTTATTTATTTCGATTTTAGTACTTTATTAATTCTTTGTTTCTTACTTTCAATATTAATTCATTTTTGTTATTTATTTTATCACACATTTTATTTTTATAACTTATTAATTTTTTTGTTATTCACTATCTTTTTTTATTTTTTTTTATTACCTTTTTACTTTTAATTAGAAAATTATCAAAATGAAAAGAAAAAAATTAAATAAAAAACTTTTCTTATTTAATTTTTTTCTTTTTATTTTGATAATTTTCTAATTTTTATTTGCAACACAATTATTGCAATATATAAATAATTTCTTGCAATTTTTCTACTCTATATTTAATTTTAGTAATAAAGGAATGAATGAAGAATTAAATAATTAATTTGCCAACGAAATTAGATAATATAAATTTAATCCAATATTTTCACTCGTAATACCAAATTAAGAATGAAAAAATAAAAAATAATTTTCATTTATTTTTCTACTCTTGTGAATAAATAAAATTCGAATGACAACTAATTTTCGAAATGTAATTTTCCAGGGTTTTCCGGGACAAGTGGGTTATACCGGTGATATGGGACTTCCAGGAGACAGAGGAGATCCGGTAAGTGTTCCTAGAGGAAGTGAATCTTTACAATAATCATAAATATTGTCTTCAAAAATTCAGTGAAATTTATAAACTACGTTAAATTATTTGCAAAAAATAGAAAAAAGAATTTTTTTTTCTCTAAAGAAAATAATTTTGAAAATAATTTCAACACACTTTACATTTTACAATTTCACAATTATATAATGATAATTTTTCGCTTAATAGCCACTTTTTCAATTTAGAAAAACAGATTCGAAATTCCAGTCTAATTGTAAAAATGACCTAATATATATAGTAAGAGAGAGAGAAAGATATATAAATGTCTCGTTTGAAATAGTCGTGAACTACTTTGTAAAGCAATTCTTGACGAAATTTGAAATGATCAATCTGATACTGCAATTAGAGACGATTTCAGATAACCATTGTCTTATTCTAAGCAAATTTTATTCTCCTTAAATTTAATATTCTTTCGTCATTCTTTCTTTTACAATTTTTTACATTTTATTTTTTTTTTTTTACATAATTTTATCTTTTATTTGAAAATTTTATCTCATCTTTGAATTGATTTTTAATTATTTATTTTTCATGAGAAGAATTTCTATTAGAATTGTATATAATTACTCTATCGAAAAATTAAACTTGACGATTCAATTTTCTTATAATTTTTTAATTACATTCAAAAATAGAATAATTTTTTTAAATAAATAATTAAATACCTATTTATTTTATCTACAGGAATTAAAATATTTCAAATGATTTCAATGTAACGCATTTTGGAAATTCAACTATTTTTAAAAATTACAAAAGTAATTCTTTCAAAATTCAATCATTTTTCTGTTTAAAATTTATAAATAAAATTATTCAAAACTTTAATCATTTTATTTTATTCAATTCTAAATCAATTTTTATTACTTATTTTTTATTATTTCTAAAAATAATTGAATTCTTGTGAAGAATTTTATGAAAATCTATTTAAATTTAAATAATTGATTTTTTTTCGAAAAATATTAGGAAAATTCTGTTATAAATAATTGAATTCCTGTGAATAAAAATAAAAATTTAATCCTGGAAATAAAAATTGAAAAATAATATTTAAATAAAAAAAGTAAAAAAAAAATGAATGAAGAGAATATTAAAATTTTATTTTGCTAAAAATGAAAAAAATGCAGTTTGATGATTAAGTGGGTGAAGAATTTTCCAACAATTAGTCTAGTGTGTGATTAGTTTCACGCTTCTTGTGGATAAAAGATTAGCAGCGTCAGATCCTTGATGGTCACTTGATCATCTCGTGGTGACGAAAAAAAACCTTGCTGAAATCTGAACCCAAAAGACAACACTGAACATTATTTTTTATTTTTATACACTCACACTGTGCTATTCGCTGACACACGTGCACAAAAATAAAGGAGAATACTATTTATTATGTCCCGCTTGGAATAAATTGTTATTAAAAATTAATTTCTTTTTTTTTATTTTTATTACTTTTATTATTTTTATTATTAATTTATTAAAATTTATTACTAGTTCATTACTAATTTATTGCTAATTTTTTTACTAATTTATTAAAATTTATTACTAGTTAATTTCTAAATTATTACTAATTTTTTTTACTAATTTATTGCTGATTTATTACTGATTAATTAATATCTTAAATTATTTCTCTGGAGTTTAAAAAATACACGTGTTGGAATTGGAAATTAAAATTACGAGACAATACAGTTATTTAATTACATTATTTTTATTATCACTATTTATTTATTTATTTATTATTAACGGGCTTACAAAAAAAGCTTTTTCGTTATTATTATATTTATATTGTTATTTATATTTATTATAAATCGTTATATTATTCTACTAAATAAAATGTAAATAAATAAATATAAAGTAAATTGATAAATATTTTTTTTTTAAATAATATGAGTCAAATTTTATTTTATTTATTTTTTTAACCTTTTTTTTAATATTTAGATAATTAACTCTTGTTAATTTAATTTTGTAGGGTGTCGATGGATTTCCGGGTCAACAGGGACCGATCGGTGAACCTGGTGAACCAGGAATTGGAATACAGGGATTTCCGGGTGACATGGGAGATATCGGAGAGCCTGGACAAGATTTTTTGCCTTGGACAATTATTAACCAAACAGTATTGCAAGGTAAACGAGGACCACCGGGACCAAAAGGTGACACCGGAAGTTATGGTCGACCTGGTGTACCTGGTGTCAAAGGACCGCAGGTGAAAATAATTTTACAATTATTTTTTTTATAACAAATATAAAAAACTAAATTGATAAAAATAATTTTTTACATTCTCATTTTGATGCGAACTGAATCGAAAATAATAACACAATTTTTCTATAACTAATTAAAAAGTAAATTGATAAATATTTTTTTTAAGTGAAATGAATCGAAATTAAATCGAAGAACAATAATTTGGATAATATTTTATTATTACAAGTTTTTTAATTTGAAAAAGAAAATATTTTTTTTAATTTAGTTTTTTTATTCGTTATAAATATTTGACACATTTTCATTTGTCTTTTATTATTATGTTAATTTTTCTGGCTTTAAATTTGATCAGGGTCGTTTGGGTCTACCGGGTTTCAAAGGAGTAAAGGGTGAGCAAGGAGACGATGGACCGAGAGGCAAACAAGGAGTTACAGGTCCAGATGGTCCGGCTGGTGAAAAGGGCGAGAAAGGAGCTCCGGGTTTTGAAGGACGACCAGGATCCGACGGTTTTGACGTAAGGCGCGCGCTTAGTGTCATGAAACAAAAATAAATTAATTAGTATTAATTTTTGAAGAAAGGAAAAAAATAATTTTTGTGGAGTAAAAAATTATTTTCCACTGACAGGGAGAACCGGGAGAAGATGGCAATGCTGGACCACCTGGAAGACAAGGTGCTGAGGGTGAGAAGGGCAGTTATATTCCGGAACTCGATGAAATGGTGCCTGGAAGCATTGGACCTCAAGGAGATTTAGGTAAATAAAAATAACATTAAGAAACGTGATTCAAAAATTTTTCTTAGCTAAAATTTAAAAACTAAATTTAAACTAAAATTTAAAAACAAAATTTAAAAAGATAATTTAAATTAAAATTTAAAAACTAAATTTTTTTTAACAGGACCACCTGGCGATCAAGGAGAATCCGGAACGCCAGGACTTGCGGGAAATGTGGGATATATTGGACCAGCAGGTCCTCCGGGTCCTCCAGGAATTCCCGGATTATCTGGCAAAAAAGGAACATCCGAAAAAGGAGAACGAGGAGACGATGGTAAATAATTTTTTCCACTCATTGAAATTCTTCGTTTCTTTCTTCACTTCCAAATTTTTCAATATTAAATTCTTTTTCTTCTTTCCCAAAAATTAGCTCCAGCGGGACCAAGGGGTCCGATCGGTCCTCCAGGTTTTCCAGGTCTTCCTGGTATTGTTGGAGATAAAGGTTTTCCTGGTCTGGCGATCGTTGGTCCACCGGGACAAGAAGGAAAAAGAGGTTTTGATGGCTATCCTGGACTCCATGGAGATCGCGGTGATCCTGGACCACCTGGTAATTTAATTTATTTTTAATTTATTTATTTTAATTAATTAATTATTAAAGTAATTAAATTCGTAATTAAATAATTAATTAATAATAAACTTAATTGACAAAAAGCGTGGATTTTTAATAAATATTTAAATTGAAAAAATATTTATTGGTTAAATTTGATTTTCTACTAAATAATTTTTTTTCTGATAATAATTGAGAATTGGAAATTAATTATTTAAAAATTGAAAAATAGGTGAGAAGGGTTTCCCAGGGAAAGGTGTGAGAATTCGAGGACCGCCTGGAGAAAATGGTCTTCCAGGAATTCCAGGTACTGCAGGAGTACCCGGATTTTCAGGACTTCCAGGATTTAAGGGCGACAAAGGAATTCATGGTGACGACTGCGGCGTTTGTACACCAGGTATTTAAAAAAAAGATTTCTCTTATTTAAAAAATAATGTAATTCGTAGGAGAAGAATTTTATAAAAATTCATTAAAAATAATTAAATTGTTTTGGAGAATTTATTTGAATTTTTGTAAATAATTGAATTTTTTGATAGAATTTTATTGAAATTTTTGAATTTCAGGATTACCGGGACTCAAGGGTGAGCGGGGAGAAAGTGGAAGGCAAGGATTTGCGGGAACTCCAGGTTATCCAGGATTTCCGGGACCAAGGGGACAGAAAGGTATTCGAGGAAAAGCTGGAGTCGTTGGTCCACCGGGTTTGGAAGGTACCAGTGGGCGAACTGGAATCGCTGGTGTTACCGGTCCCAAAGGAGAGCCGGGAAGAATTGTTTGGCCTCCGCAAAATCAAACAGAATTTCTTGACGCAATCGGTGAAAAAGGTGATAAGGGTCTTCCTGGCCCGGAGGGATTAATTGGTCCCAGAGGTCGTCCCGGTTTACCCGGCGACGAAGGTATGCAAGGACCCAAAGGCGCCAAGGTAAATTGATTTGTTTTTCTTTTCAAAAATAGAGGATCAAAAATTTTATTGAAAAAAACCTTTTTTAAATTAATCAATTCTAAAAATTTAATTTTTTTAGTACTTTTAATAAAAATTTTTACATTCTATTATTTTTAAAATTGCTAATTTTATTTTAAAAAGTGAGTGAGAAGTCAGAATTGTTGCTAGTCAGTTTATTATGGTTTAATATTGGTTCAATAATTATAATTAATTTCTAGGGTGAACATGGATTGCCCGGACTGTCCGGCAGAGACGGAGTGCCCGGAAAATATGGTCGCATTGGTGAAAAAGGAGACGATGCTTCAGTTGAAATTTATCTCCTGCGTGGTGAGGCAGGTATTCCTGGTTTACCTGGTCCAAAAGGTGAACGCGGTATTGTTGGCGTTAAAGGTGAACGGGGAAATTCAGCGTCGGCGTATTTCGAAAATATTAAAGGCTTGAGAGGTTATAAAGGAGAAGATGGAGAAGCCGGTACGTTTTTCATATTTATATATTGAAAAAAAAAAAATTGAAAACAATTTTCAATTTTTTGCAAATATTTTTGAAAGAAGAAAATCTATACTTATAATAGAGAAATTTTTTCAGGATTCGATGGCTACAAAGGTTTTAAGGGACGAATGGGCGACGTAGGATTTATAGGATTGCCAGGACCTGCAGGACCACCAGGTCGTTCATTCCAAGGACCGCCTGGTCTTAAAGGCTATCCGGGAATGCCAGGTGAAGAAGGACCTCGAGGAACTCCGGGACAACCGGGTCTTATGGGTCCTGAAGGTTTCCCAGTACGTACAATATTATTTTTTAGCTCTCATATTTATTTTTTCAAAATTTTTTCTCTTTTTGATTTTTTTTCTCTCTGAAAAATTATTATAAAGATCCATTTTCGATTTTATTTAATTTCCTATTCTTTTGAAGAGTTTCTATGAATTTCTTTTTAAATAATGGAGTTTTTTTTCAATAATTTTAATTGAAAATAAAGTTTGAAAGTAATTGAATTTTATAAAGAATTTCTTTTAAGTTTTTAAAATAATCGTTTTTGTTGATAATTGAAAATTAAATATTCTCCAAAATTGAATTTTTTTTAGTGTTTTCAACAAAAATTTAAATTAGAAAATTTTTAAATTCTATTATTTTTAAAATTGATAATTTTATTTAAAAAAGGCAGTATGAAGTTTGCCGCACAAATTGTTGATAGTTTCAATTTAATTATTATGGATTTTTCCCACTAATTAATTAATTAAAAAAATAATAAATAAATAAAAATAATTTATAAATAAATAATTAATTAATTATTACAAATAAACTGTAGCGAGATTGGGATTTGTTTTTAGGGTTTCCCGGCACAGAAGGGAGAACGTGGTGATCCAGGAACTAATTTAATATATGGTGATACTGGAGAGATGGGTCTTCATGGAGAAAAGGGAGAATATGGTGAAGCTGGTCCACGAGGATATCCAGGAAGAGGTGGTTATGACGGACCGAAGGGAATGAAAGGTGCCAAAGGAGCTCCAGGTTTCACTGGACTCAGCGGTTTACAAGTACTTAGAAAAATACAGAAAAAAAATTATACCCCATGTCTTTATAAAATAAAATTTTAATTTGCGATTTTTTAGGGATCGAAAGGCTCACGAGGTGACAGTATCCAAGGATCAAGAGGAATGCCTGGAATTCCAGGTTCACCTGGATTTAGAGGAGTTCCCGGTGACATGGGTTTTAAAGGCAAGTGTAAACATTTTTATTTTAATTTTACTCATTTCTGCTGATTTTTGTTATCAGCAAAATAATTAATTGGAAGAATTGGAAATAATTGGAAAAAATAATAAATAGAAAAATAATTTAAAAGACGTGAGTAATTAAATGTTACTTCCGAAATTTTCTTATTTAGGACCTGATGGAGCTCCTGGATTTGGTGGAATGAAAGGATTGAAGGGAGATACGGGCTTTCCGGGACGTCGTGGCGAGGATGGAGCAACGGGAATTATTGGATTTAGAGGAATGAATGGTGCTCCAGGTCTACCGGGTCTTCCGGGAATGGAGGGCGATGTTGGAATGCGCGGTGAACCTGGAACAGAAGGAAGACCAGGTTTAGACGGCACCGATGGGGAAGTGGGACTCAAAGGGGAACGTGGTGACATTGGAGCCGAAGGACTTATGGGACCGGATGGTCCACCCGGATTTAAGGGTTCGTTCCTCTTTTTTGTCTATTTTACAAAAAGAAGAAAAATAGTAACAATTGTTAAATATATTTTCCCCTAAGGATAAGTTTAAAAGCTACTTTTTTAAAATTAATTATGGAGCGCGAAGTGTGAAAGGAGGGAGAAAGGAGAAATAAAAGAAAAAATTTGGAAATTTCAGGTGTTATTGGTGACATTGGACCTGACGGACCAGACGGACCACGAGGAGAAAATTCATTCAGCGGCCCTCAGGGTGTTAAGGGTGAACCAGGATTCATGGGTGAAGTGGGATCTCCAGGTAGGCCGGGAATTGACGGTCGACCTGGTCTTCCAGGAGAGCCTGGAATGGCGAAAGATGGCTTCGACGGCTTGAAAGGTGAGCAAGGAGACGCCGGTTTTGACGGCATCGATGGACTTAGAGGTCTCAAGGTAGGTGCAAAATTTGCAGAATTAATTTTGCAGAATCGAACAATTAATATTCGGGTTAATTTTTAGGGGGAAATTGGAGACATGGGTTTGGATGGTGAGAAGGGAGAAAGAGGTGAAGAAGGATACAAAGGTTGGCCCGGAAAGCCTGGATTGCATGGAAGGCATGGCGAGAAAGGTAAACGGGGACCAATGGGACCTGCTGGTTTCGAAGGTCTAAAAGGTCAACACGGCATGGAAGGAGATCCAGGTCAAATGGGACGACCTGGTAAGTTTCTAAATACCTATAAACTTTATTCCTATTACTTTATGCCTAAAATAAAAAATAATTAAAATTGAGAGATTGAATAATTTTAAATTAACTACTAAATTAAATTCTAATTTCATGGCTATAATCACAACTTAAATAATTCATTAATCAGAAGAAGTGGATTTAACTTTCCGAATTTTGTAGGAATGCCCGGAGATGTAGGTTTCGTGGGATATCCCGGCGCTCTAGGTTCTCGGGGCCGAAAAGGTCAAGTTGGTGAACCAGGACACTCTCCATATTTGATAGGCACCAAGGGCGACTTTGGCATTCCTGGAATGCACGGATTTCCCGGAAGGAAGGGAGAAAGAGGAGAAGCTGGATACCCTGGTTTCGCTGGACTAAAGGTAATTGAGAATTTCCAAAAGTCTTCATTTCATTTTGATAAAATTCATTTCATTTAAAATAAAAAAAATAAAACCAGGACTAAATTTTATATTTGTATTTAAAAGAAATGTTTAATTATCTTCTCTCTTTAGGGAATGGAGGGAGATATTGGATTCAGAGGAGCAGACGGTTTTCCTGGACTCGAAGGACTTCCAGGTCTTCCCGGAGATCGAGGAATGCCTGGAATGCCAGGTAAAATACAATTAGCTATAAACTTTATTGTTACTAGTAATAAAAATAATTAAACGAATATTTTAACTAGAAAATACAAAAAAGAGAAATAGATTAATAATTAGAGAATAGGGTTTTTTTCGGATTGTTTCATAAGTTTAAAAATGAATTTCTATCAGGTCTACCCGGTCAATTTGCCGAACCTGGAGAATCTGGTCGCGATGGATTGGACGGACGAGTGGGAATACCAGGACGGCCGGGACAAAAGGGAGCACCTGGAGAGTATGGTCCTAATGGACCTAAGGGAATTCATGGCGATGAAGGTGAAATTATTCCCGGTCCTAAGGGAATGAAAGGCGACATTGGTTAGTGAAGATAATTGGTTTTAATTTAAAAAATAAAATCAGAAACGGAGTGATTAAGTATTTTATAACTTTGAATAGGTCATAGAGGATATGTCGGATATCCTGGGGAACCAGGTCTTCCAGGTCAACCGGGTTTCCCGGGACCGGTTGGTCCAAAGGGCTATAGAGGTGAGCCAGGAACTTCCGAGTTCAGTCACAAAGGAGAGAGGGGAGATGCTGGTTTATTAGGACTCGATGGTCTGCATGGTCCAAAGGGCGCGAGAGGTGACAGTGGAACTCAAGGAAGACCGGGAATTCCTGGCGCTAAGGGCGAAAGGGGAATTGATGGATATGCTGGCGTTCATGGAGCACCTGGACCTCCTGGTCCTCAGGTATAAAATTGTTTCTGAATTTTCTTCATCAGTAAATTTTTTCCTAATCAGTTTTTCGTAATTTTCAGTTTTAGCTTGAAACTAAATTTTTTTCGATGTTTTAGGGACCGAAAGGACATCGTGGTGTGATTCCATTCCCTTCAGTACCTAGACCAGGATTACCTGGAGATGATGGACCACCCGGATTACCAGGTACAAAATTTATCTTTGGAAGAATTTCTCAAATGTTACTGAAGAATCGAATGATAAAATTAAGGGAAATTTTCATTGATTCTGCAGGTTTACCAGGAAGAAAGGGAGAGTCAGGAGAACCGGGTGAGGACGGTTTGCCGGGTCGCTTCGGAGATAGGGGAATGGATGGTCCAGTTGGTCCACCTGGTTTGTCAGGAAGAGATGGACCCAATGGTTTCCAAGGTCCACCTGGAACGAACGGACGTCCTGGAGTTCCTGGTAATTTTTACCTTTTCTCTCTCTCGAAAAAAATTCTGTTTTTGCCAATTCTCATTTGGAATTTTCTGTCTATGAAAAAAGGACATCCTGGTCAGGTTGGAGAACCGGCGCCAAGGTCTCGAGGTCCTCCAAATCGAGGATTTTTCTTCGCCAGGCATTCGCAGTCCGAAATGATTCCCACTTGTCCGAGAAACACTGTCAAATTGTGGGACGGATTCTCTCTTTTGCACATCATGGGCAATGGTCATCCATGGGCTCAGGACTTAGGTAAGGCTTTTTCTTTTCAGTTCATTGTTAATCGAAGAAATGATTGATTAATTAAATTCTGTAGTAGTTGATTTTTATACTAATTAGAAATTACTAAATTGCTTTTGTTGATGAATTTGGAATGAGATTTAATTTTCGTGCAGGTCAAGCCGGAAGTTGCCTCCGAAAGTTCTCCACGATGCCGTTCTCGGTTTGCAATTTGAACGACGTTTGTGATTACGCCCAAAGAAACGATTACAGTTATTGGCTGAGTTCAACGGAGCCGATGCCAATGATGATGACACCGATTCCCGCGACTGAAGTCGGTCGATATATTTCAAGATGCTCCGTCTGCGAAGCTCCAACAAGATTAATTGCCATTCACAGTCAAACCATGGACATTCCTCAATGTCCCGGCGGTTGGGAAGAGGCCTGGGTCGGCTACAGTTTCCTAATGGTAAACTAAAATTTCCCCAAACTAAATTTAAGTAAAATGTTTTTTTACTTTGACTCGGACTGATTATATTTTTTAATTTTTGTCAGTAATAATTATTCTGTAAATGGTCCGTAATTCTTCATTTTTGATCCCTAAAGTCCGTATTTTGAAAAATACTTTCACTTTTCCGAGCCCTGATAATTTAGGACTTCTAAATTAAAAAAAGAACCGTAAAATAATTTTCCTTTTCTTTCAGCATCGAGATTCTGGAGCAGCGGGCGGAGGACAATCGTTAGTCTCACCGGGTTCTTGTCTCGAGGAATTCCGAACACGGCCATTCATTGAGTGTCGTGGTCTTGGTACTTGCAATTACTTTGGAACTGCAATTTCCTATTGGCTGGCAACAGTGAAGGATTACGAGCAATTTAGAAAACCTCTACAGCAAACACTCAAAGCTGATCACACATCGAGAGTTAGTCGTTGCTCTGTTTGTCGACGACGACTCGTCAACGAGGACAATACAAACACATATCCTTTGAATTCACTAAGGGATAATCGTTATCATCACAGTAGTTATCATCCAGAGAGTCGCGAGGAACAAGATCGAACATTTGTCTCGCCACGCAATCAAAATCGTCCCTACGAGTGGCAACGAAATCAAAGACCAGCACAACAGCAAAGACATCCTTATAGACGTGTTCATCATCAAAATCCAAGGAGAAATCGCGTTTATTCTGAAAATGATTCACAATCTACATGAGAAATTTTTACTAGATAATCACGTTTTTTATCCAAGTGTTATGAATCAAATCGAAGAAAGGTAACTAAAATTTTCTTTTTCTTTCGTCTCATTCTTCGAAGGAAGAATTTTCTTTTAGCAAAAAGATTCTTTGAGAACAATTCTCTTATAGCAAAAAGAGAATTGTTGATAAAAAAAATTTTGCTTCTTCTTATTATTAAAAAAGTTACAAATGTAAGAAATAGAGCTAGACATTTTTTTTGCTAAACTAAGTTAAAAATATTTTTTCTACTATAAAATCAAAAATAAAAAAGGATTCAAACATTTTCGAATAATTTTCGTGATAGTCACAAGTATGTATATAAAATAATTTAGAAATTTACTTGAAAGTAATTAAGTTATATCTACTGATGTCAGATTGTGTCAAAAATATCTTTCATCTTGCGTGTTTCATACTTCGTAATATATAATTGTTATTAAAACAAAGAAAGAAATTACAATGGAAGAGCAATATCGCGCTGTGCCATAAATGAATTATCTTATATTAACATCTACGACTGCCAAATATTACTTCGATATAAATAATATAGTGCCTTGTGCGATTTTACAATTTATCATTTATATAAAACAAGAGAAAATATTTAAATTAACTTTATATATTGTAACGCTAATCCTAATTATAAGGCAAAGTCAAATAAATTACTTTTATATAATCTGTAATTAACATTTTTTTTAAATCTACAAACTCTTCAATATTTTTATATTTCAATTCAATATCTTAATGATTTAAACTATATTTTATTTTTTAATAATTAGAAATTATTATAAAATTAAAATTATTTATCATTACAAAATTATTTAAAAAAAACGTTTTTCACAAAAAATAAATATTCTTTACTTTTATTTTAAACTAATTTTTATTTCATTTATTTTGGCTTCGGACTCATCTACTAAAATCAATTTATTACTTTTTTTTCAATTTGTTATTATTTGGATACTTTCCCCTTAGAATTAAAATTTTTAAATTAAAATAATTTAATTATTGAAAAGAATTAAATTTCAAAAAGTTTTAAATTAAATTTTTTGAATTTAAACCATCATTTATAAATTTTTTATAAAAATTCTTCAAAAAAATTTTAATAACCTAATTCAATAGAATTTTTTATCGTAATTTTTTAAATTTCAATTATTATTTTTTAAAATTTAATTTACATTTAAATTAAATTCAAATGCAAATATTTTCAATTTAAAATTATTTTTAAAAATAATTAATAATTGATTCAGAAAAGAATTTTAGGAAAAAATTTGGAAATTAATTGAATATTTAAAGAGTTATAGTAAAAATTTTTGAAAAATTCCACTTGTAATTTTTAAAAATAATTTAATTTCAAAAGATTTGGATTTAAAAATCATTTGAAATTTAATTATTTCTAAAAATCAGAACTGAAATTCGTCAATAATTCAATTATTTTTCATGTTCTCAATTCTTAAATATTTCTATTTAAACATTATTAATTTAATTATTTTATTAAAAAATTATCGTTTAGTTTAATTTATAATTTTAGTTTTAGAAAATTTTACTAAAAAATTCTAAAAAATAATTTAATTTTGGAAGAATTTCAATTGTATTTTTTAGAAATAATTACATACATTTCCAAAGAAATTAAAATTTCAATTTTTTATATTCAATAAATTTCATTTTAATAATGTAAAAAATATTAAAATTATCAAAAATTTTAATTCCTGACAAAAAAAATGAATATAGAAAAGTATTTAAATATTCATCTAACAAAAATTACTAAATTTTTGAGTAATTTAAATTTGGAAATTTTAAAAAAAATGAAGTTTTTGAAAAATTGTAATTAAACTTTTTTTGAATTTAGTTTGAATTTCCGAAAACAGTTTTAAAAAAATTGAAACAATTGAAAATTTTGACTAATTTCATTAAATTAAATTTTATGTTTTACAAAATTTAATTTTTTTACTTTTAAAAATAATTTTTAAATATAATCGTATTTTTGGAAGAATATTCTAAGTGAAATTTTGATAATTAATTGAATTTCTGCTGCTTTTTTAAAAATTAATCGAGTGCAAGTGCAAAATTCATTTTTCTTTTCATTTTCTTTTCAAATGAATTTCTCATTTCATTTCTTTCATTACAATTTTTCTTCTATAATAAAAATACATAAATCTAAGAAAATACAAGAAGAAATGAAAATTAATGAAATTTCCAGTATCTCTTGAAGTCAACTTTTCATTTTATTTAATTTCTTTCATTAATAATTTTTCTTTCACAAATCTAAAAAAAAATATGAAATTTTCAGTTTCTCTTGAAATTAAATGTTAATTTAATTCCTTTCTTTCGTATAATTTTAATTTCTGCTGCTTTTTAGGGTTCCGTACACCATAGGTGTACTGACGGAACCCTTATGAAATCACTCGTGTGTCCGTCCCAGCTACGCAAAATGGGCTGTCCCCCCCCCCTTAACTTTTACAAATCTCAACCTAGTGAGCTGAAATTCGGTAGGGATCTTCAGTTTTAAATGCAGATTACAGGAAAAATATAGCGAACCCAATTGGCGGACATATTTGCGAACTAGGAGGGAAAGAAATTGAATTTTTCAGAAAAAATTACAAAAAATGACCCTGTCCCCCCCCTTTAACTTTTACAAATCTCAACCTGGTGAGCTGAAATTCGGTAAGGATCATCAGTTTTAAGTGCAGATTACAGGAAAAATATAGCGAACCTGATTGGTGGAGATATTTGGGAACTAGAAGGGAAAGAAATTGAATTTTTTCGAAAAAATTGCAAAAAATGACCCTGTCCCCCCCCTTAACTTTTACAAATCTCAACCTAGTGAGCTGAAATTCGGTAGGGATATTAAGTTTCAAGTGTAGATTACAGGAAAAATATAGCGAACCTGATTGGTGGAGATATTTGGGAACTAGAAGGGAAAGAAATTGAATTTTTTTGAAAAAATTGCAAAAAATGACCCTGTCCCCCCCCCTTAACTTTTACAAATCTCAACCTAGTGAGCTGAAATTCGGTAGGGATATTAAGTTTCAAGTGTAGATTACAGGAAAAATATAGCGAACCTGATTGGTGGAGATATTTGGAAACTAGAAGGGAAAGAAATTGAATTTTTTCGAAAAAATTGCAAAAAATGACCCTGTCCCCCCCCCTTAACTTTTACAAATCTTAACCTTATGAGTTGAAATTCGGTAGGGATCTTCAGTTTTAAGTGTAGATTACAGGAAAAATATAGCGAACTCGATTGACGGACATATTTGCGAACTAGGAGGGAAAGAAATTCAATTTTTTCGAAAAAATTGCAAAAAATGACCCTGTTCCTGCGGTTAACTTTTACAAATCTCAACCTAGTGAGCTGAAATTCGGTAGAGATCTTCAGTTTCAAATGCAGATTACAGGAAAAATATAGCGAACTCGATTGACGGACATATTTGCGAACTAGGAGGGAAAGAAATTTAATTTTTACGAAAAAATTGCAAAAAATGACACTTTTCTCTCCCCCTTTTGAACTTTTAAGAATCTTAATCTATATGTAATAAAAATACATATGTGTACCGAATTTCAGCTCAATAGGTTTTTATATGTTAATATTAATCAATTATATTTCTTATATATATTTTTTTTTATAAAAAATGAGTTTTATTTTGGTGTACGGAACCCTCGATCTTAATGCGAGTGCAACTCGCACTTGCCCGATTTTTTTTAAATTAATCGAGTGCAAATTTCATTTTTTTTCATTTTCTTTTTAAATGAAATTCTTATTTAATTTTCTTTCATTAAAAATTTTTCTTCTCTAATAAAAATATAAATCTAAGAAAATACAAGGAAAAATGAAATATAATTAAATTTTCAGTTTCTCTTGAAAGGAAATTTTCATTTTATTTAATTTCTTTAATTAAAAATTTTTCTTCCACAAAATCTAAAAAAATGAAATTTTCCGTTTCTCTTAAAATGAAATTTTAATTTAATTTCATTTCACAAATTTTTCTTCTTTCACCTAAACTAAAAACCAAATAATTGGGGGAGAAATGGAATTTAAAAAAAAAATCACCAAAAAATTGCATATAAACGTTTTTTCACATTTTATTACACTTTTATTCGATCGCCCAGCTAAAAAATATATGTATATATTTTCATATATATATATTAACAGCGATCAACGCAAATCGATGCACGACCAATAAATTACTTCTCACAACTAGGAATAATTTTTTCGGCCCGATAAACGTCGAATATAATAATATATATATTATTATATATATATCTTCGTCGGATGCACATTATTTATTAATGAGAGATTAAGAGATTAAGAGAAAAAGACAGACAGAGATTATAGAGATAGAGACAGAGAATGAGAAAGAGAGATAGAGAGAGATAGAGAGAAAGAGAAAAAAAAAGAATTGAACATACACTTGAAACATCGGTATTATATTTATATTTATAAAATTATTCATCATTAGAAAGCACATATCATCTATCTATATGACATAACTCACTAATATATACACGCACGCGCATACAAACACACACACACTTCCGACTCCTATTAATCTACTTACACACACACACACACACACACACACATATCTACGTATCAAATTATACGCAATAATGTATGCAAATGTACATATGTTTGTATGTACACGTACATCTCTCAAAGGAATTGTTTTTATTTCCTTAAATTTTCATTTTCTTTTGTCCCAACTCTCACTTTTTAAATAGAGACAAAATTCTCTATTTTTTTTATAAGTGGAGGAAAATGCAGCTGAGCGGTAAAAACAGGCGAGAAAAAAACTATATACATTTTTTTTTAAGTTTTAAAAACGTAACTTGAAAGTAGTCTTCGGTGCTCTTCCTACACTTTGAAAATCACAGACAAGAGATCAAAACTACTAGCGTTTCGTGTTCACTCGAAAACTTCTTTTTTTCTCCTTTCTCTCTTTTTCTTCGTTTAATATTCCAAATTTTCTTTTTTTTATGTCGTTATTATTTATTTCTCTGCTTTATTTTAAAATTGTCACAAATTCTAAATTCTAAAATTCGAAGCCTCGAGAACTTTTTTTCTTTTTAACAATACTCTATTTTATTGTGCAAAGCTTTACTTATTACATAATATTGTGTTTCAAGTTTCAAAAATTCGTATCTTTAAGGCGAAGAACAGTTTTCTTTTTCAATTCTCTAATTTCTAGGTTCATCTACAATTTTAGAAAAAAAATTTCGAAATATTACACGAAGAATGACAACACAGATTGTAAACATTTCCATCAATTAATTAAACACAATTTATCGTGATTTCAATTTGTAATAAATATTATTAATAAATAATTATTACCCATTTTATTATACTTTTATATAGTAATATTAGTAATCATACTTTCCGACAGATAATTTTTTGTAATTATTTTTTATCTTCTTCCCTTTTTTTACATCAAAATTTTGTTTACAACTATTTCTTCTTATGGGAATTTTTTTACCTTTTTTGTTTAATTTCTTTTACAATTATTCGTCTAGGAATTTTTCTTTTACAATTATTCCTTCGTCTCGAAATTTTTCGTAATTAATTCGTAATTATCATATAAAAAAATATAATGTATTCAAGTAATCGTGTTTAATTAATTGATTAAAAATCGGAATCATTAACTAATCCAACAATTTCAATAATTAATCATTAATCAATTCTTATCAAATAAAAAAATTCCAAACATAATTAAATTTAAAAAATTTTCAATTCATTATAATAATTATTATATAGTCCAAATATTTAAATTAGATTCTTAAAAAAAATTTGTATTGCACAAATTTTGCATAACATGAAATTTTTAATTGCTTGGATTAACGAAAGCAATATTCAAAGCACCTTAAATAGTTTTACAAAGATTTACAACAAAAAACAAAAAAAAAAAGAAAAAAAAACACATAATTACGTTATTGCAAAAATATTCTTTTTTTCAATTAAAGACAATTTCTACTGCCATATTAACAACAAAACTTAGAAGAATAATTAAAGACGTAATTTACATTTATCACAAAGATAATAATAGTTTTCTTTGATTAATAATAATTTTTTTTTTCATAAACAGTAGAAATAAAGAGTAGTTACATTAATATTATATTTAGAAAAAAAGAAAGTTAAATTCTCGATAAGCGAGTAAACATAATTTTTAACAATCTGGCAAATATTTTTGAAATATTCAGCGAAATTGAGATTAGAATAAATTTTTTTTCTAGTGAAATTATATTTTAAGGAAAGAAATTTTTATAAACAAATTTTTAAACAAATTTCTAAAATTTCTAAACCAATTTTTAAACAAATTTCTAAACAAATTTCTAAACCAATTTTTGAACAAATTTTTAAACAAATTTTTGAACAAATTTCTAAACAAATTTCTAAACAAATTTTTATACAAATTTTTATAAAGAAATAATTAAAGAAAGTTGAAATATGTTTTTGACAAAGAAAATTAAAAAAATAGATTTAATACAAAAATTAGAGAGAAAAAATTAATGAAGAGAATTTTAATCGAAAAAATTAGAGAAATAATGTTAATAATGAAAATTTTGATAGAAAAAATAAAGAAATTTAATAATGAGAATTTTGATTAAAAAAAGTAAAGAGAGAATATTAATAAAGAGAAATTTAATCGAAAAATTTGAAGAAAAAATTTTAATAAAAAAATTAGAGATAAATTAGAGATAAAGTTATAATAAAGAAAATTTTATTAAAAAAATTAAAAAAATTTTAACAAAGAGAATTTCAATAAAAAAATAGAGATAAATTACAGATAAAATTATAATAAAGAGAATTTTAATAAAAAAATTACAAAAAAAATTTTAACAACGAGAATTTTGAATGAAAAAAATTTAATAAAGAAAGTTAACAAATTGTTAATAGAAAAATTAGAAAAAAATTTCCAGAAAAAGAATTTTTATATCAAAGTTGGAAAAAAAAGTTTATGAAATAAAAAAAATTAGAGTAAAAATTGTAATGAGAATTTTAATAGAAAATTTAAAGAAAAAATTCTAATAAAGTAAATTTTAATAAAAAGAAATATAGAAAAATACTACTAGAGAATTTGAATAGAAAAAAAAATAAATTTCTTTTGTAAAGAAATAGAAACATTAAATTTTTGTTACTAAATTAAAATACCTAACATTCTGACAAAAAATAAAAATAGAAATTTGTCCGATTTTTGAATAAATTACAAAAAAAAACAATTCAAATAAATTAGAAACGTTTGAAGAGAAAAATTACAATTTCAAACTAATTCTTCTCTTTTTTTCGGAAAAAATAAATTTACAGTGCTTCGAGGAACACGATTCCTTTTGTCTTATACAAAAACACAAAACTCTCAGTAAACCGATGTGCATTTTCATCCAATCTCGGATAAAAGCCAATGTCATTTAAAAAAAAAGATTAAAAAAACTAATCCACTATTTCTCTATAAATTTTTCTGTTTCTAGGTGAATCCAAAACACCTTTTTTTTAATAATTATTATAATTATGAACATCTCTATAATTAAAAATTTCAATTTTTTCTTTTCTTTTTTTTATCATTTGTGTTTAACAACTTTTGTCGTTTAGAAGTAATTTAGTGTGCATCTAAGATCTGAAAAAGAGAATTACCGAGCTATGCAAAATAGAAGGTCGATTTCTTTTTCTTCCATACACGAATATATACATTTTGTTTTGTTTTTTTTTTTTTGCTCAGGGTTGTCCAAAAAATAGACGTTTTACTACTTTTTCCCCTCAATTTTTCTTTTCTTTTCTTTTTAGGAAAGATAATAAACTTTTTAGCGAGCGTCGGCTCTCTCATGAAAATCCGAGACAATCGGAGCCCTTGGGGCTTCTTCAAAAAAAAAAAAAAAAATGGTAAAAAAAGAAAGAAGAACGATGGTCGATATGTCTACAAAAAAAAATCTATCCTTACGAACGCAAACACTATCTTTAAAAGCTTTTTCGACCATCGAAACACAGCCACATGCAAAACCGTAAACCGACGTAAAGAAATTTTTTCCGTAAAAAGGCGGCCAATTGAAATATTTTTCTTTCTTTGTCCGTTTTGCTCCCTAAGAATTATGCCGCTTTGTTTCTTTTTTTTTTTTTTAATGAAAAAGGAGAAAAAATTACGCAAATTTTTTAAACTACCCTGGTACCCTTACTATCGAATAGAAATATGCATACGCCAAGTGTTTCACAATATTAATAGTAATATAATAATTAATATAATATAATATAATAATATAATATAATAATAATAATATAATAATAATATAATAATAATAATATAATAATAATAATAAAATAATAAACCTTACTATTATAATAATATTGTAGTTGTAACAATAATATTGGTAATAATAATGATAATGATGATGTCAATAAAATAATAGTAATAATCGTTATTATAATCATATTAACAACAACAAGTATTCTTTGTCACATTTTGGTTGCAGATTCTTACAATCACAAATATATTATTCATAATATAATATAGTCAAAAAGATGTTAAATTAAGGGAAAACATGATAGTGCTCTATTTTTTTCTGTGTACAATAATTAATCCTATTTAATAGTTTCTATGTTCAACAGCCAGTGGTATAGTAAAGTATACCTTTGAGGTACCTACGTAGTTTTTTTTCTTTTTTTAAATGGTACCAAATACAATGCCAACAAAAAAAAAACGACAAAAAAAAATTAAATTGAAAATATGCAAAAATTTTCAAAAAAAAAAGAAAAGTTAAATAGCTTCCGGGCGTCTTTTTTTTTGTTTTCAAGAATAAAACTACTTCGCTTTCTTTTTTATAAGCATTTTTTTTTGTTTTGTACATCCTGAATAAATTCGCTCGGATTTGAACTTCGGAACAACAGCCTTTTTCCCTGAAAAGCTTCTCTTATTTCGAAAAAACATTTTTCCAAGTGATTTTCGCTTTTTTTCGGAAAAACATATTCATTCGGGGGGAAATTATTCGGGATTTTTTCTTTCTCTATTTTTAGATATTTGCTATCTAGTTTCTGGAAAATTTCGAAAAAAAAGAAATTTGTTCATAAAAATATGTTTATTTTTAAAATAATTCAAATTTAAAAATAGTTTTTTTTATCCAAATTTAATATTTGGTATCATAAAAATATGTTTATTTTTAAATAGTCAAATTTAATATTTTTTTAAATTTTATCCAAATTTAATATTTTTTTCAATTTTATCCAAATTTAAATTTAAATTTAAATTTAATTTAGACTAAATTTAATAGTTTTTAAAACTATCCAATTTTAAATTCTTTAAAAGAATTAAAAAATAATTTTCTCTTCGCGTGAGAAAAAAAATTTTCCCAAACAATTTCCTCCCGTGTTCCCGTTTCCTTTCACCAAAAATAAAATTCCATAACCTCTTTTTTGTAATAAATTCTTTTTGTACTCACAAAAAAGTTATCCTTCCTCTCCACACACACAACAAAAAAAAAATAGTTTTTCCTCTTCTCGTGAAAATTGCAATTCTCTTGGAAAGTGGTTTTTTCAAATTCTCTTCTTCACTTGGAAATTTTTCCTTTTTTTTCAGAAACAATTTTCTGCCATCACGAGAAAATTTCATTTTTAAAAATAATTTCTCTCTTCATTTGCAATTTCTTCTTTTTTTATCCGCGGGAGAATAACTATTTTTCCCTATTTAGAAAGGAAATTTTTGTTTTCCTTTTTAGAAAATCTTGCCCGCAACTACAGGGTCCACACTACTTTCTTCTTCTTCTTTTTTTTTACAGAAAAATATCTTTCTGAAAATGTGAAATCCATTTTTTTTCTTTCACGGGACACAATTCCTCTCTCTCTGGGAAAATATTTTTTATCGAAACCTTTTGTGTGATTGTTCGCATTGTACTTGGGGATACATATCTGTATACTGCTTTTACGTGTAGTATTACATATAATACAATAGTATCCGTTACGTATAGTGTTTTTTTTTATGTAAATGTAGGTGTGTATGTATATACTCTTTTCATCACTCAAATATATATTACATATATTTCCTTCATTCGCGAGATGCTAGCCAGCAGTCACTCGGATAAAAGTTTCTGCAACAGTGACGCTTTTGGATCACCTTGGGCCACTTCTTCGATAGTAGTCTGAAATCAAAATCAAAATTATGTTCAATTTGCTTTTCAATTTTTTATCAAAGAATTTTATAAGAGAAGAGAAGACAAAAAAAATTCTTTTTTTTCTCTCTTATTTATTCTCTTATTTTTATTTCTCTTATTTATTTTTTCTTATTGTTTTTTTTTTTTGAAGCCTGAGACAAGAACAAGGAACTCTCTATCGCTTTCTAAATGCATAATATTTTTTATAAATGTAAAAAATTGTCGATTAAAAAAAAAAATTTACTGCTTTTGCGAAGCAACTAGAATAAGAACAATAACAGTGTTGAAAAGCAACATAAAAATTTTTCTTTCCATAAATTGTGGAATTTATCTTCAGATTTGTTTTTTATTTACCAAGAAACAAATTTTTGGAAATATGTCCTTTTCCTTCTTCAAAGGAAACTAATTTTCTTGATAAAAATAAAAGACGTTTTTATTTCATTAACTTTTAAGAAAAGTATTTTTTATTCTTCTTTTTATTTTTAAGGAAAAAATTTGTGTACAAAACAAAAGATGTTTCCATTCTTTTTTATTTTCAAAAATGTATTTTCTATTTTTTTCTTTAAATTTTTATTTAAAAAATTCAATAATGTAATAAAAAAATATTTTATCAACATTGAGAGAAATTAGGAAAAAAAATACAAAAGCAGGACAAATTTCACAAACTAATGATATTTTAAGTTATGATGGATTAAACGGAAAATTAAAACTCGATCAATAAAATAAATTGTAAATAAATTCAAATATTGCGTTTAGTTTTCTTTTTGTTTGTTTAAATTTTTTTATTTTATCTCATTTTTCTTTTATTTACATTTAAAAAAAACAGATAAGATGTAATTTTAATAATTCTTCAAATTATTTTCCAAAAAACTTCATTTCTAAAAGTGTGTTTATAATAAAAGTTGAAACAATAAAATTCTTATTCGAAAATTATTAGTCTCAATGATTTTTCTTTTGTTTTATTATAAAATAAAGAATCAAGACAAAAAAAATGAATGAAAAATAATTTGAAAATTAAACTTTATGATAAATAAATGAAAATGAACTAAACAAATAAAACAATTTGACAATGGTTGCATATTTTCTAATTAGATATAAATTCGAAAATAATTTAAGTGCTACTTAATGTCAGTAAATATATTTATTTTAATAAGAAATAAAAATTTAAATAAGAAACGAATTAGAAAAAAATATATTGTAAAGACAAAAATTTGTGAACAAAAAAAAATAAATAAAAAAATAAAATATAAACAAGAACATAAAATATAAATAAGAAAAAAAATATAAATAGGAAAAAAATACAAAAATAAAACAATTAAATTCTAATTATAAAAATAATTTATCCAATTTTATAAAAATAGAAACCAATTCAAAAATATAGTAAAAATTAATTATTTGACAAAAATAAATTTACTAGAAATTAATTTTTAAAAATAATTTCCTAATTTCTCGAGTCCGACAATTAAATCGACTGAATTTACCGGACACGTTAACTTTAAAGAATTCAATTTTAAATTTTCATTCGCAATTATAAATTACAAAATTTCATAAAATAAAAAAATAATGCATTCCATTACAACTAGGTATTTGAATCATAACTTAAAAAAAAAATTCGAATTATGAAAAATTTAGAGTTCCTCATCTATTAAAATCTATTTTTTTTTTTATCAAAATTTGCTTACCTGTTTTACAAAAAATTTAATAATCATGCATTTAAAGAATTTACGTTTGGAAAAAAATAGAAATAAAGAAATAAGCAGTAAAAAAAATTTTCTGATTTCGAAAGAAGTGTTACGTTTTCTTTTTTTTTCTCAATTAAAATTAAAATTTTGCATTTTTTTGTTGTTGTTGTTTTTAATGATGAAATATGTTAAAGCATTCTGAACCATCACCAATATTTGTAAACTAAAAAATTTCATTGCAATAAGAATGTTTTTTTTTTAAATAGTATAGTGATCTAATTAGAGTGTAAAAAGTTTGTCTCTCAAACCTTAATTAATAAATTTCTTAAATAATTTCCAATCTAATGTCAAAATATTTTCACCAAAGGTGTCCTTCTCAAAAATATACAAATAACAAAAGTTTTTCTCTTTTCTGCAAAATTAAAAGTTTTTCTTTCTTTCTTTATTCAAAAAAATTAATGAATTTAATTAATTACCTAATAATAATTTTAAATTATTTAAATAATTTAAATAATTTTAAATTTTCTTAATCTTTAAGTTGAAAATTAAAGGAAAGAAAAATTTTGTATTTCACAAAAAAGAAAATTATCTTGTTGAATAAAAATCAATTTTATAAATTCCCATTCCCATTTTTTATTAAAATCAAGAGTTTTTGTGTTAAATTAATGAAAGATTAATCGAACGGAGATAAAACTGTCTATTTATAAAGAAAAAAAAATTATTAAATATTTCTAAAAAATTTTGTTCATTGCGTCACAGCTTCTGAATTCAATTAAATTTATTTGTTCACTTAACAAACAGGAAGTAGATTCTCAGAGAAGTAAATTGGAAATCCTTAGGAAGTAGGAAAAAAATTATTTCTCAAATGGACGAATATTTTAAATTTCAAACTTTTTATTTTGTTAAAAAAACAAAAATTGACAAAAAATTGTCAAAAATTGAATATTAATTTTTATTAATTTGAAAAAAGATATATTTTTATCAGTAAAAAATAAATTTACCGAATGGGTACAATCATACCTGACTGAAAAATTGCACGCATAATACGGAAAGGATTTTCATCGTCCTCAATAAATCGAATTTTTATTTCTTTTTCATCAAAAAATAAATAAATAAATAAAATAAATAAAATTAAAACCTAAATTCGCTATCGCGGATTAAATTAGTACTTTTTTCAAATAAAAAAAAGCTGTTACGTGAAGAAGATTCGTTTTACTGAATTCTAAATAATGTGAAAAACTGAGTGTAAATCTTGATTCAATTTTATTATTTTTTTTTACTATTTCATTAATTTACTCTTTTATTATTTTATTAATTTACTCTTTTACTATTTTATTAATTTACTCTTTTACTATTTTATTAATTTACTCTTTTATTATTTCGTTAATTTACTCTTTTATTATTTCATTAATTTACTTTTTTATTATTTTACTATTTTCTCATTCTAATATTTTACTAATTTATCATTTTAATATATTATTAATTTACTTTCAATTCAATTTCAATTTAAAAAAGAAATTTTGAATCGAATTTAAAAAGTGAACCGCACAAAAATTGCACTATTGACTTTCAATAAAGACGAAATTGAATAGAAAATAGAAAGTTGAAAAAGAGATTTAAAAAAAATGAAATTTATTTCACAAGTTTTTTTTCAATCGCAAAAAGGAATTTTGAAAAATTTTTCACTGACAAGAAATTCGCAATTTTTATCATTTTTTTAAATTCAATAATAAATTCAGAAAACTAATTTACAAAACTACATTTTATTTATATATGAATGGATTAATTATTAATAAATAATAACTAATAAATAAAGTTATTGTTAATTATGATTATTATTTTAATTATTAAATGATAATATTATATAATATTAATTGTATTATTAATTATTAATGATAATTTATAATTGATACAAAAATTGATTTAGATGAAAAAAAGCCAAAACTCACGATTAGTATAAAGAATATTTTTTTCGTTTACAAGAATTATAAAATTTCTCTATGAGGAATCTATGAATTGAAAATTAATTTAAAATTCAATAAAAAATATTCTCTGGATTATTTTTATTATTAATTTGTATTATTATTTTTTAGACAAATTAAAAAAAAAATACTACCACAAAATTGTGGCAAATTTTGGTGAATAAAATGAGTGAAATTTTTTGCGATTGAAAGTATTGTTTTTTATGAAATAAATTTTCTAAATAATTGTCAAAATGTAGAATTACTATTATTATAAAGAAATAATATTATGTAAAATATTGTCTCTTATCAGCCATTTGAAAAACTCAAGCATGCAGAATATATAAATATAAGTACACTACCCTCTACAAGTTTTACGCTCAGTATCTGAAGAAATAATTAACATGTCGTGCACAATAATGAGTTCTAAAGCCAAGCAAAGAGGGAAGACAGAGCATACAAAATCAAAAAATACGTAAAGTAAATTGTCGGAAAAGGGATTCTTACCCTGGAGGAGGAGGGGGCGCTTCCGGCACTCCCAATGGCCCAGCTCTTTGCAGGGCCATCGCTAACCACAGGCTCACCTGGTTGGGACATTGTAACAATACTTGTTACCATAATCTTTAAACAACTGTTGCCTTTTCTTACAAAATGCACGCATGTTAAAGCTCTATCGATTCTAAAACTTTTTTTTTCCTTTTTTTTCTTTTTTAAACCCCTGACTCGTTTTTCTAATTTTTTTTTTTTTAATTCAATAAATATTGTGGTTTGTGTACGTGTATCAGATTTTATTGAAAAAAAAAAAAATTATTATAATCGTCAGAATCAATTCAACGCCCTTGGTGAAAAAGATTTTCTCATGTTCATTTTGTTCAAATTTAAAAATTTTTATTTTTATTTCAAATTTTCACAATTTTTTTTTTCAAACTTTTATAATTTTTGAAATTTTTCATTATTTTCTGAAATTTTTTGTTTTAGTGACAAAAAAATAGGCATTTTATTCTTTTTTTTTTCTTTAGAGATTGAAAATAGTTTTGTTTCGTTTTATTAAAACGACTTTGAATTTGGGAAATAATTTATTTCTATTTTTTTCATTTTCAAAATTTGGTAAAAAATTCAACAAAAAAGAAAATTTCAGCTCTTTGCAAATTAAAAATTTTAAATGAACAATTTTTTTGCATTTTAATTTATTTTATTAGTTTCAAAATAAAAAACAAATAATTTGAAAAAATAAATAATCAATTAAATTAAAGTAATTGAAAAATTATATCCACTCTGTAATTAAAATTTGAAATTTTAATTTGCAAGCTGTAATTGAAATGTGAAATTTTAATTTGCAAATTATAATTAAAAATTCAAATATCAATTTTAATTTACTAAAAATAATTGAAATTTGAAATTTTAATTTGCAAATTTTAATTAACATTTTAAATTTTAATTTTCTAAAAATAAGTGTAATTTGCTAAAAATAATTGAAATTTGAAACATTAATTTTAATTTGAAAATTGTAATTGAAATTTAGAATTGATATTTGCAAATTATAATTGAAACTTTAATTTTGATTACAAATTATAATTGAAATTTTAATTTTCTAATTATACTTGAAATTTGAAAGTTTAATTTTAATTTGAAATTGAGAATTTAAAATTGTATTTTTAATAGAAATTTTTAATTAGAAATTTAAAAAAACAGATGAAATTCTCCAATAATATTAACGAATTTTCTCAATAAAAAAAATTATCAAAATTTTCCTGTTCTATAAATATTTTCAAAATAAGTATAAATTGATAAATAATAATTAATAAATAAATAATAAATTTTTAATAATTAATTAATAATTTTCTTTAAACAATAAACATAAATTTATAAATAAATCTAATTTTTATCCACAAGAGTGTCAATTATCCCCGAATTTTTCCATGTGTAACATTTTGCAGAAACATATTTTTTTAACCGAATTTTCTAATTGTTTTTAATAATTAATAATAATTTTTTAAAAGAAACCGACTGAATAAAAATATTTTGTCAGTTCTTTTTTCTTTTTTTTTTTTGCTTTAATTTTTAAATAAATAGAAAAGAATGAAAAACCTACCTGCAGAAGACATCTCGAAAGTAAGTCCAAGAGCGTCGAGATCATCCTGAGAAACTTGACCAGACAAGTTATTCTGAAGACTATTAGGCACCCTTTGCTGTTGTTGCTGCGTCCTGGCACCGACAATTGCTCTCAGCTCTTGACGAACAAACTCCGATGTCATTGTAACAGTACTGCTCGCATTTCCTGAAAACAATTGTTTCAATTAATATTTACACTTCAACTTAAATATCTTAATTACCTGACTTTTAAAATATTTTTTTAACAATTTATTTAGATCCATGAATATTTATACTCGAAATAGAAAAAAAAATTATTTCCACCAAACGAATTCAGTACTAATTATTATAAGAAAATTAATAATTAATAAATCAATAATTATAATAATTCAATTCATAAATATTTGTCTAAAATTTAAAAAGTTTTATATGCACATAAATATTAATAAACTCCATTATTTTCAATTGAAATTTTTTATAAAATTCTACAAAAAAAAAGTATAATAGTACATAAAATTTTCAATAAGTAGAACCAGAAATTCGTTAATAATTAAAATATAGAAACTACAATCTAAATAATTACAGATATAGAAAAAATGCAAATATACAAATTACAAATATAATAATTGTAGGAAAAAAAATCTCATAAAATACTAGGAAAATTCTAATTCTAAAACTAAAAGAGAAAAAAATCTCTATAGAAAAAAATGCAAGTGAAAAACAAACGGCAATTTTGTAAGCAGCAATTGTAGAAAAAATTGTAAAATAAATTTTCTAGAAAAATTACACACAAAAAACTAATTAACAAAAATTTTCTATGCAATATAAAAGTGCAATTAAAATTCTACACAAAAATTCTATTCTACATTTAAATTCTATTCAAGATTTTAATCTTTAATAGAATTTAAATAGAAAGATTAAAATCTGAATAAAAAATATTAAAGATTTTAATCTTTAATTTTCTATTTAAATTTTTAATTTAATTTTAAATCTTTCTATTTAAATTCTATCAAATTCTATAAAAATCCCCATCAACTTCCATTAAATTCTACATTTCTAATTAAAAAATTAATAATAATTGTAATATAAAATAAAATTTAATTAATAAATTCCATTAAAACTCCACATAATTCTATAAAAACTATTTAAAAAAATTGTTTCTCCAAAAATAATTTTCTAAATAAAAATATTAATAATCTGCCGCAAGTATTCTCAGAAATTTCATCTTCGATCCAATGAAATAATTATTCTGCACAATTGTCTATATACATATAAGTTAAAAAAAAAGACAAGAAATATTACATGGATTTTCTTAAAAATTCTAAAATACAATTCTAGAAATATAAATGATTTTGAATAAACATGACAATGAAATTCAAACATTGATGACACACATTGAGGAATTATTATTTTTGGTTATAATAATTAATAAATAGTTAATATCACATTATGCAATAGCAACGAATGAAAAATGATTTTTTGAGATAAATGATGAAGCTGTAAAAATTTTCAGGATAATATTTTGGTGCAACTGGACTGTTTGATTCTTCTTCAAATACTATATATACAAATATATACAACTAGGACTTTTTCTCCAACGTACGTTTCACTTTTGGTGAATTTTTTTCAGTCAATTATTAGAAAAAACGCTAAAAATTCTTTCGTTCTTCGATTTTATTTTTATTTTATTTATTGTTTTAGTTATTAGCCATTTTTATTTTATTTTCTCTTAATTTTATTCAAAATTTACTTTAATTTAATTTTAATTTTACATAATTTCAATTTATTTTTATTTAATTTCATTTTAATTGAATTTAAATTAAATTTAATTCTTATTGAATCTTATAGAATTTCAATTTTCCATTAATAAATTTTTCAATATTACTGTTTTTTTAATTTATTAATTTTCTTTTTTTTAGTAAACGTATGTTGGATGAAAAAAATTAATGCAAATTATTACCACTAAAATTATCATCTACGTTCAAAAATATTTCATTGATTTTTGAAGCAAAAAAAAAACACTACTTTTCTGATCATAATGAAAAATTATTATTTTTCACGAAGCAGTTTAAAATTTTCAATATTTAAAACAATGAATTTAAAATTTAAATCCAATATTTAAAATAACGAAAGAATTAGAATAAAATTTATCTTCAGGAAATTAATAATTTTATAAAAAAAAAAGTAGATTATTTTAAAATCATATTTTTGTCTTCAATTTCAAATTTAACTAAAGTTAAATGGAAATTGAAGACAAAAAATTGAATGGAATAATAAAAATTAAAATTTGTCAAAAAAAATTATTTTTTTTGCATTTTTAAACATTGAAAATTTGAGCTTCATAAAATTTCTAACATTTTAATTTAACGATTGAAAGAATTTCTCTTGTTTTATAAACACTGGTGCTTCTATTTTTTTTTAGTTTTATTTTTTTATTTTATTATTTACTTATTTGGATCGAATTCTTTCGATCAAAAAGTAATCTGATTTTTTTTGCAATTCGATTTCAAAGTTACAATTAAATTATATTTTATTTATTAAACTATAAATAATAAATTATGAATTATTTGAATCGAATTTTTCCTCAAAGTAAAATCAAATTTTTTTTCAATTCGATTTAAAGTTACAATTAAATTAAATCTTATTTATTAAATTTCAAATTATAAATATATTATAAATTTTAAATACGAAATTTAAGAACTTAAGAATGAATCTACAAATAAATAATATAATAATAAATAAATATATAAAACTAAATTAATACTAAATTCATAATTTAGTTTCATTTATTTATATAGTATTAAATTAATTTAATTTATTTTATAAATATTATAAAATAATTTACAAATTTAAATATTTTTAATTTTTTTTTCAATTTTTAATTTAAATATTAATTGCTTAAAGTAATTTAATATTAAATTTGAAGAAATTTTTTCAATACACCCTTTACGAAGAGGACAAAAAATTCTAATTCTGAGACATTGAATGCTAGAGAATTAAAAATATTGCGGTAATCATCAATTAATTATTATGATTATCAGATGAGAAGACAGCGCATCCAGTGGGCATGGTTATGACACATGTGGTGCTGGAAACTGTGAATAAAGCTTCATGCAACACTTAATAGTAATTTACAATAATAATAGTAACAATTTTTTTTTTTTTTTTTCATGAAGAAGAAGTGCCATTGCAGTTTCTAGTAGTTTTGTTGTAATTTGCAATTCGTTGACGATACTGCAAAACAAGAAAATGCGTAGAAGATAATTTATTTATTTTTTTAAAAGATATTCTCCTTTTCAAAAAAATATTATAAAAAAAAAATAAACATTTACCAACAAACAAAAAAAATGTCTTTTTTCTTCTTCTGCAAGAGAGAAAGAGAGAGAAAGAGAGAGTAGAGAGAGAGAGAATAAAAGAGAAAGAATCTTCCACAGACATTTATGGGATACGTAGAGAAAGAGAGAGAAAATTTTCGGGTGAAGTGAATTTTATGAAAATAGATGATGAAGAAATTCTTCATTATAACAAGAGAATATGATTTTGTTTGTGTTTGTGGAGAAAGAAAAAATTCGACCGTGGTGGTGTTTTTTTTAGCAACATCAGTAAATTCTAAAGTTAGAGTTGATGAGTGGCACATGATAAATATTATATTTACGAATATGAAATATGTCACTTGGGTGCAATGAAATTTTTTTTTTCGGTGAAAAACACTCAATATGGGTCATTTATGTACACAAATGTTTTGGAGATAAAAAAAATGGAAATTTTGCTTTTTTGGAAAAGTGCTTTTTTAGGGTTAGAGACTCGAGATAAGCATGCGAACCAATGATTATAATTATATTATTACGGGAGCAAATTTAATCATCAAATTGGATAATTTTTCTCAAATTTCAGATTTTCTATATATTCGAATTTTTAATTTGTATTCATTCTTTTATAATTTATTCCCTCTTTTATTAATTACAATTTTTATTTTTTAATTTTCGTTCGAAATTCTTTATGAGAATACAAGTTACTATAGTAAGTTTTACTATACAAGTCTAATTAAATTCCTCGCAAAAATTTAATTATTTTCATGTAATTAAATAAAAATTTTTGCACGAATTTAATTATTTTAAAGAATTTAAATAAAATTCTGGGCGAAAATTTTATTATTTTTAAAGATTTCAATAAAATTCTTGCCAAGATTTCAATTATTTTTATAAATGATAAAATTTCTCGTGAGAATTCAAATTATTTAAAAAAATGTCAACATTCTTCGCAGAAATTATATTATTTTAAAAAATTTTAATAAAACTCTTTATAAGAATTTAAATATTTTGAATATTATTTTAATTAAATTTTTCTCAAGAGAAATAATATTTCAAAACTTAAGAATTTTAATTACTATTTTTCAATTTCTATTCAGAATTTCACTCTTTTATTAATTATAACTTTTATTTTTCAATTTTCATTCATAATTCTGCTCTTTCATTATTTATAATTTTTATTAAAAATACTTAATTATAAATTTTGTTTTCAAATTTTCATTCAAAATTCTGCTTTTTTATTAATTATAATTTCTATTATTCAATTTTTATTCGAAATTCTACTCTTTTATTAATTTTAATTTTTCAATTTTTCGATATTTATTAAAAATTATTGAAATAAATTTTCAAAACTTGCAATTTTCATTCATTTTTGTTTTTGTTCCATTTTGCATAATGAAAATTATTGAAATTTATTTTCAAATCACTACGAATTCCAATTATTATTTTTGCAATTTTTATTCATATTTTTGTTCAATTTTGTATAATGAAAATTATTGATATAAATTTTCAAAACTTTATACGAATTATAATTCTTATGTTTCTGTTTTCGTTCAGAATTATTTAAATCAATTTCCAAAATTACGAATATTAATTCTTATTTTTGCAATTTTCGCTCTTCTTTTTTTTCATTTTCTACTCAAAATTAATTGAAATTATTTTTTAGAACTTATGAATTCAAATAATTTGATTTCCAATTATTTTCAGATAATTAAAAATAGAAATCGTAATTCACTAAAAAAAAATTAGTTTCACGTTTTTAAATTAATGTGAGAATTTACCCTTTTTTCCCCGAAAGAAGATAAATTCAATTATTAATTTTATAAATTTACGAAATTATAAAAAAATAGAAAAATTAATTTTTATATACAAATAAAAATTGAAAATTTTGTTATACATAAATTACAAAATTGTATAGTTGTACAAACTATATAAGGCATGCCACTATATAAACATCCGTTTATAAATATATAAATAAGTAAATAAATATATAAACAAATAAAATTTAAATTTATTTTAAGGACCTTAATTGTATAAAAAATAATTGTGACTTTTTTGTGGTCTTTGGTCCAAAAAGTAAATAAATAAATACAGAAGAAATAACGAATTCGAATATAGAAAATCTTTTCTCAATCGAGAGAAACTTCAAATTTAGAGGAAAAAATCCACGCGACCGAAAATGATAAAAAAAAAATGAAGTGCAGAGCGAGACACAATGAATTTATCGAAATGATTGTGTTAGCACGTTATTTAAACAGAACGAAACAAACAGGCAAAATACATCGATGAGACGATAACACAAGGGTGAGAAACGATAACTGAATGAAATATGTTCCCCCAACAAATAAAAAAGGATGAAGAAAAAAATCACGATGATCGATGTGTGAAGTTAGGTTTTTCTTTTTTTTTGGAAAAGAGAGTGAAATGGTATTTTTTTTTCTTGGGAATTCCATGCCTGAAATATATGTATAAATGCGTGATTTTTTTTTAAATAACGAGTGAGGGAATATGATGACATAGCGAAGGTCACATGACATGAAGAGGTCACATGACTTACCACCCATTTGGTGACTAGCAGGATTACTGGGAGGCAGAGGCCTAGTGTCCTGCCCATCCCCAGGCCCCATTTGATAGAGTGGAACGGACGTCCGATCATAACAGTACTGATTTTGATTCTGTACATCAGCAGTGTTGATAGTATTGGCGGTGTTGTGATATATCATAGATGAGTGTTGCTGATTGGAGAAGTGTTGGGTATTGGTGACGTTATGCTGATTATGGGTCGGTGTTGCGGGACAACCCGAGTGGGGATGACTAGGTGATAAAAGAGCCTGTTCCTTATTTACTCCACCATAATGACGCGGTGAACCAATTCCACCTGTAACATTAACATTGTCTACCTCCTTTTGCTTTAGATAATTCAAAAAAAAAAAAAATTTCACTCCTTAATCTTTTTTTGTGATAAAAAAAGATTATTTTTTTCCACGATTCCTATAGAAGACTTCTGTAAATAGTAAATATTTTCAAAAAAAAAAAATATACAAAGAAGACGCATTTCCTATTTTGTATCGCGAAAGCACAAAATACAATTAGGCTGTATTAAAAATTCACTTATTGCTATAAAATGCATAAAACGTTTTTTTCTTTTGTTTAATTGACAAAAATTCTGCTTTATTTTCTATTTTAAATACTTACCGCGAATCAATAGGGTGTCTACTTATTTATTTTATTTTACATTGGACAATTTCTTCAGGCATAATTTTTAAAAAGAAGATAAAAAGGATAGAAAGTAACAGTGAAAATATTTTTCAAGAAGTTAAAAAGTAATTGCATTTCATTAAATAATTTAATAAAATATTATTTTAAAGTTTTTCCTTCCATTATAATATTTATAAAGAAATTTTTTTCGTCTCGAAACGTAATGTCCAATTTTTTTTCCCGAAAAAGATATAAAATACTTTTCAATTTTTTCAAATCTAAAAGAACATTTTACCAGGACTTTAACTCTTTCCCCCCACAAGTAGACACCCTATAGAAAAAAATGAAAAAATCGTGCTAAAAAATTGACACACAAAGGAAAAAAGAGCAAGTAAAAGTCACACATAAATTCTAAAACTAAATAAAGAACAATCCGATAGCATTTCAAAGAAAGAAGTTACACTAATAGTAAAGTAAAAAAAAGGACTAAAATAAAAAAATTACCTGGCAACTGTGTAGTGGCCGATGGAGTAGACGTAGTTCTCTGGAGTCTGTACTGCGTGGAAGGATTGTTAGCGTTTGGGATTTGAACAGGGGGAAACTGGCTAGCAGTGGGACTTGCAGGCGGTGGGAAAGTTTCAGCGGGGAATGGCGACTGCCGCGCCGACGCTGGTGTTCCAGGTGAAGGCATCGATCTCTGTTGCTGTTGAAGTTGTTGCTGGGTTGTTGGTTGTTGCTGTTGTCGAACTTGATTAACGTTAAACATTCTTGGACTGTTACCATAATTGCCCTACAAAAAAGAAGAAGAAGAATAAGAAAATTAAGAGAAAATCATTATTTTATTATAATTTATTACCTATTGATACTGTATTTATTCATTGATTGCTTATGACTAAAAAATCCCTTTCTGTGAAAATTCGCGATAATTACCTGCGAGACTCGAGGCGACAGAGGTTGCGGATGAGAGAAGGAGAGAATGCCAGCAGGAGAGTGCGGCGATAGTCTCGCCGTCGCGGAAACTTGCTGGCCACTACTGAAGTTATTATTTACGGGGCTGAAAATTTTGTATTTTCAACATTTTAATCAATCGTGTTTCTCTAAACAATTCAAACGATAGAAGAAATAAAATGAAACAATTTCTACCGAAAAGAAGTAAAACAGAAAGTAAAAAGAAGAAAAATTAAAGAAGGAAAGTAAGAAAAACAAAATAAAAATGAAAAATCACAAGAAGAAAATTAAAAAAAGAAAAAGTAAATAAGAAAATCAAAAAATTAAGGGAGGAAAGTAAAAAAAAGAAAAATTTAAAGACGAAAGTATGTAAAAATAAAAAAAATAGATAAAGTAAAAAGAAGAAAAATAAAAAATTAAAGAATGAAAAGTAAAAAAAAGGGAAAGTAAAAAAGAAATGAAAGAAAAGTAAAGGAAAAAAGAAAAATAAAAAGTCTACAGTAGAAAATAAGTTGTGAATTTTTTTCGAAAGGACTTACTGCTGAGATAACGTGGAAGGATGAGAATAGGAGTGAGCAAGCCGGTGCCCAGAAGGCATTTGGACGGAACCCCCATATCCTGGAGACACTTGCGAATCCGTTACACTTGACCTCTGAAAAAATTATTTCAATACAATTATTTGTCAAAAATTTTAATATAATTCTTCGCAAGAATTCAATTATTTTTATAAATAATAACATTCTTCAGAATAATTCAATTATTTTTATAAATAATAAAGTCTTTGCAAAAAATAAGTTATTCTCAATAAAATTTCACGAAAGAATTCAATTCTTTTCTTAATTCGTTATAAAATTTTACAAAAAAATTCAATTATTTTCTCAAATTTTAATAAAATTCTTCGAAGAAATTCAATTATTCTCAAATTTTTTGATAAAATTCTTTGCAACAATTCAATGATTTTCAATACATTAATTTTAAAACTGAAAATATTTAAAAATATAATAAAATTTTTATTTTATAAGAAATAAAATCTGTAGAGTCTAAAATATAAATTCTAAAGAATATAAAAGAATTAATTCTGAAGAGAGAGTTTAAAAATAAATTCTGGAGAGTATAAAAAATAAATTTTGAAGAGTTTAAAAGAAAATTTCGAAGACTATAAAAAATAAATTCTGGAGAGTCTAAAATATTAATTGTGTAGAATTTACATTGTGTAGAAAATACATAATTGACTATTGAAATTTTGCAAAAATTTTTATCTAATTTTCATTGAATAAGAAAATAAATTAGATAAATTACCCGTAAGGATACGTTTGGAGAATTTATTTTTTTTTTCTTTTAATTTTCATTGAAGGAGAAAATGAAAATAGTAGATAAATTACCTGTAGAGATACATTTGGAGCAACAGTGTTGTTCAATAAACTGTCAATGTTATGAATTCCAGTGTTTATTTGGTCCGTAGCTGTAGCATTGGAAGGTATAAGCAACTGCTGTTGTTGCTGTTGCTGGAGCAATCGTTGTTTCATTTGTTGTTGCTGAATAAGATTACTCCTCTGTTGTTGCTGTATGTGCAATTGTTGTTGAGGCGTAAATTGCGCAGCGCTCTGTCGAATTCCCGGCTGGGCATTAAATCTCATTCTTGGCTGTTGCTGCTGTTGATACAATGCCGCCGCTTGATAATTATGGCTTGTTGTAACAACAGGCGCATTGCCCAACTGCAACAAAAACAAAAAATCACTATTGCTATTTTTCTATTTGGAAATTTAATATTTTCCTCTTTGGAAATTTATTTTTCTTTTTGAAAATTACTATTTCGTAAATTATATTTTAAAAATTACAATATAATTTTAATTATAATTAAAATTCTCCACTATTTTCTTTTCGAAAATTACTGTTTTGTAAATATTTTATAATTACAATATAATTCGCGAAACAGTACCTAATTTTTGAAATGAAAAGTAGTGGAGAATTATAATAATTACAATTAATAAATAAATAAAAATTGAAATAGTATTTTTAATAATCAAGGAATCGATTACTTAACGGAATGCGAGAGAATTAATTTGACGAGGGAAATTTCGTGTGAATTAATTTACAAATGAGAATACGTACCGCTGTGGAATAAGCTGGAGGTGTACCCGGTATCGTGATGCTGGAAGACGTTGAATTGACTTTAGCCTCGATAAGCATTAATGACTTCTGTATGGCGTTGATTGCCATTGTCTCATTCACGACAATGTCATGTGGTACTTCAGCAACGCTCAGCAAATCGTTGGTTGTTTCAGACGAATCTGAAATTTAATTAATTTATTTTAATTACTCTCTCAACTCACTCCCGCTTCTTCATAATTGAACGCCTTGATGCAAGAACCAGACGCAGCCCATTTAATTTCAATGGCCTATGTCTGGTTCTTGCATCAAGGGGTTCAATTCAATTTATTATTATTGTGCAAATTACAAAGTTTTTTATTTTCAAATATAAATTTTTGAATAATTTCCAAATCAAAATTTAAAAAATTCACTTAGGTACAAAATTAATTATTATTGTTTATATTTTCAAAAATTTTTTAAAATAGACAAAAATAGACATTTAAGGCAAAGTTTGTAGCGTCAAGAAGTGAAAATTCTATTCTAATCTTATAAAAATAAAAAATAGATAAAAAATGAAGTACAAATAGAAACATAAATGAAAAATTCACCTTCATTGGTCTGATTGGAAGTAAAGTCGACAAACTGCTCTAAAATATCGTTAAGATCAGGATCAGTTGATTGATTATTCCAAACGTTGGGGTCTGTGTTGGGTTGTCGATATTCACCGCCGCTTATAAATTCCGAATCTATTTGTTCTACTTGAGGCCTTTGTTGCTGCGTCTAAAATTGCGACGATTAATTAATATAATCGAAGATTGTGAGAGAGGGAAAAAGAGAAGAAATAGTTGATAAATATTTAATAAATTAAATTCTTTTTTTTTTACTCACTTGACTCACTTGACTTAGCATATGACTGAGGTAGACATTGGCTGCTTGGCGAGGTAGTTGTTGTCTAGGTAGGTTTTGGAGAGGAGTACGGGCCGAAGTTGCAGTTGTGGTAATTGTGTTGTTGCCAATTGGCTGCTGCATTCTACTTGTAGTCCATGGCTGCTGTTGTTGCTGCTGTTGCGGCGGTTGCTTCAAGCGATCCGTCACTCGGGGGAGTTTGTCCTGAAAAAGGAGCTAATACTCTTTTTGACAAATGCAAGCCAAAACGCATGATTATTCCCCAAATTTTACTTTCCCTAAAGAGTTTTCTATTTTTATTTTTTCAATTTAAATTTTCATTTCTTAAATTTATAAACTTAAATTTCTATTTCAGAAATCAGTTAATAATTTACCATTCATTCTTCTTTTTGTCATCTATCACAGAATTTTGATTTTTTCCCTAAGCCAAAGAATATTTCTGATCCACTCTAATTAAGTTTATACTTTATTTATTTTAGAAACTAGAAGAAAAAAAAACGAGAAATAAAATAGGTCAAAGAAAATTAATAACAAAAATTCGATTCAATAAGAAGTATGGTGAATTATTATTACTTATATTAATCAATTTTAGGTGGATTGAATATTAGGGGAAGTGTATAATTTGGGAAATAATCATGCGATTCACCAAAAGGGGATTGTTTATATTGAATATAAAAGGCTAAAACGTAAGATATAATTTTCTTTTCTTCTGAATATGAACAAAATTTTTTCTTTTTCCAAAAAATCCATTTTAATTTTGAAAAATTAAAAACTGTTTTTCACTATAAATTCTTTTTTAAATTTAATAATAACAATTTTAAGAAAATTTTACTAGAATTTTATTATTCAACTTTTTTCTTTACAAATAAAAAATGTTCTTCTTCACAGCAAGTGAATTTTCCAAAAATATAGTTTAAAATATTTGAGAAATTTTAATTTGACTTTAATTATTTTTAGAAATAAAAGATGAATTCGTCTTTGAAAATGAACTACCTGTGGGGTCGCTGATATCACAGATGCATCGATCGGTGGGATTTTGGTTGGTTGCTCGGGTTGCTTGGCCAAAAGCGAAGCAAGCATTTTGTTCTTTTCCCACAAATGTTTGTTCGTAGAAGTTGGAGCAGACGCTGGGGGATGCGTTCCGTCCCTTGGTCGTTTCATCGACGAATTCATATTCATTTCTTCGCCCGGTCGCTTTCGCGGAACTTGAGAATTTTCATTTGGCTGCGACGGTGACGGCGTGGTATTTTGGAAACCAAGACTTCTCAATAGAGGATCATCCTCCTGATTCTGTTTCAATAAATCAAAAAAGCAAAACATTAAATAAAATACATCATTAAATATTACATATTTCTATTTTTTTATTATATAGACTATTTCTATTCTATTTCTATTTTATTATTTAAATTATCTCTATTTTCACAATATTCAAATGTATATGCAAGTTAATTCAAATGATTTTTGAATCATTTCTTTATTTTTTTGGCATTTTTGGAATAAAAAATTTAGAAAACGTGTCATTTACCGTTTGTTCTTTCTGTTTCCTCTCTTCGTCTTGGTTTTTCAATAGCTTTTGAAGAAGTTCATTACTCTTCTTCAATCCAACCCTTGCCTCTTCATCGTCGTCGTCGTTTTTCTCATTTAATAACTTAAAATGCGAAAAATTTTAGTATCAAGGATTTTTGAAAAAGAGCAAATCAATTTTGTCAAGTGTTTTTTTTTAAACAGAAAAGGGAATTAACTTGCAAAAGTACTTTCTCCATGCGAGAAAGCAAGAAACGTAATAAAAAAAAGTAAAAAGAAGAAAAAAAAGAAAAAAAGGAAAAAAAATTTTTTAAATAAAAAAAGTAATAAAAAATAAAAAAAATAAAAGAAGTAATAAAAAAAAATAAAAAAAGTAATTAAACAAAAAAGCAGGATTGCCACAAAAATTTTATTTCATTTTTTCCTGACTTCTCCCTGATTTCCAGACAGAACTTCGACTTTTTCCCTGGCCCTAAAAAATATTTTACTTCACTCTAGAAATTTCAATTTTCAAATCCTTTGAATTATTTTCCAAATTTTTTGTTAAAATACTTCAGAAATATTTAAATCCAACTTTTGAAAGAAATAAAATAAAATTGATTAAAATATAAAATTAATTTCTATTAAATCTGACATAATTTCTAATTAATTAAAAATTTAATTTAAACTTTTCATAATATTTACAGAAATTTAAATTAAAAAAAAATTTTGAATAACAATTAATTTATTCAAGAATTGAACAATCTTTGTTAAATAAATATTTAAATACTTATTTATTTTTTAAACAAGATTTAAAATTTTTAATAATTTCATTCAATTTAAAACCTTCTTGAAATTTAACTATTTTTCAAAATTACATAATTGTCATTCTTTCAAAATTCAATCATTTCTTTTTTTGGCGAATTTTTAAATAAAATTGTTTACAACTTTAACACTTTTTTTAGGAAAACAATTAATCAAACTACTAGTTCACTGAAAATAATTGAATTTCAGCGAAGAATTTCATTATTTGAAAATATAATTGAATTCTTGCGAAAAATTTTCTTTTCAAAAAAAGATTTTTGAAAATAATTTGGTCGTTTCAAAGAATTTTCTTAATTATTGAAAATAATTAAATTCTTGCAAAGAATTTTAATATTTTTAAAAATAATTGAATTCTTTCGAGAAATTCTATTGAAAATAATTGAATTTCAGTGCAGAATTTTTTTATTTATAAAAATTATTGAATTCTTGGAAAAAATTTCATTAAATATTTGAAAATAATTGAATTCTTGCAAAGAATTTAAATATTTCGAGAAATTGTATTAAATATAATTGAATTTTAGTGCAGAATTTTATTATTAAGAAAATTATTGAAATCTTGGAAAAAATTTCATTAAATATTTGAAAATAATTGAATTCTTGAAAAGAATTTTAGTGCAGAATTTTATGATTAAGAAAATTATTGAATTCTTGCAAAGAATTTCAGAAAATATTTGAAAATAATTGAATGTCAACGTTGAATTTCATTATTTGTGAATTAAATTGAATTTCAGTGAAAAGAATTTAATTATTTCACAATATACTTGAATTCTTGCAAAAAAATTTCTTTTCAGAAAAAGATTTTTTTAAATAATTGAATCGTTTCAATGAATGTTATTAATTGTTGAAAATAATTTAATTCTTTCGAAATTAAAATTAAATGTATTAAAAATAATTGAATTTCAGTTCAAAATTTTTTTATTTATGAAAATTATTGAATTCTTGGAAAAAATTTCATTAAATATTTGAAAATAATTGAATGTCAGAGTTGAATTTTATTGTTTGTAAATATAATTGAATTTCAGTGAAAAGAATTTCATTATTTGTATTTATTTGCACTAATTTAAAATCGCTAATAGTTAAAAAAAATTATATTCTATAAAATTTTAATAAATATTCTTTGAAACGATCCAATTCTTTTTAAAAAAAGATTTTTGAAAATAATTGGATCGTTTGAAAGAGTATTATTAAAATTTTATAGAATAATTTTTTTTTTAACTATCAGCGATTTTAAATTAGTGCAAATTATCAAAAAAAAAGAAAGTAGATTTTAGTGTCACAAATCTAAAAAACTATTCAAAATAGTATCAAATCGTGAAAAAAGTAGGTTTTTAGTAGATGAGTGCGAAGTCTGAATTCTGGAAATCGAGTATTTTTCCAGTACTTTAGTTAAAATTCTCCGACTTTTCCCTGATTAATTTTACTTTTCCTGACAATTCCCCGATCTGTGGCAACCCTGAAAGCAGTAAAAAAAGAGAATAAGTCAATAAAATATGGGAAAAAATAGATTACCTGGAGAAGCATAATGTTGGGCTGTTCCGTATTTTGTTTCGGCGCACTGCTTGGACTAGTACGCACTCTAGAACTATGCTCCGAATGATACTCATCGTCGTCTTGTTGATTCAACAAAGTCTTTAATATCCTATGCTTATTCGGTTTGTCCGCGTCATTAACAGGATTGTCCTGACTGTCCTCACTAGCACTGGCTCCCTTGGTTAACAAGTTCCTGAGCCTAACCGACTCGGTGGACACAACACTATTTTGAGTCTCGACACTTGGCGTATTGGGTGCGCTCGTTCCACTCGTACTCGGACAGCCCTTGTCCTGACTCTCGATTCGTTTGCACAGCGAAGAAGTCGTCGCGCCATTAGCTCCAGCAGCAGCGGCAGCGGCGGCGGCAGCAACAGCTCCGGCAATGTTGTTCATCGGCGTCGGCGATTCCTGAAGTGGACTGAATGGGAACGAATTACTGAAGGTAGGATTCCCAGATGTTGGGCTGTACGCACGCAGGGGACTGCAGTGTGAGGGTTGCACCGCTGAATTCGAGTTGAATGTCGTCGTCCCCTGCGGACTTGGCGATGCGGCAGCCGGTTGGGAAGGCGGTCGTGAATTTGGTGGCCCGCTTGCTCTCGATTCGGGCCTTTCGACCCACCCACTACTACTGTCCAAGTCCCACGTGGAACTCGGGAATAGTTCAAACTCCAAATCCATATTCCCGGAAAATTGGTTGAAGGGATTACTCGATGTTGTGAGCGATGTTAATGGATTGCAACTATTATCGCTCGTATTAAATGTTACCGAGTTGTTTGATGTTGTCGCGTTTTGCGATGTCAAACCACGACCACTGACACCACTCACTTGACCGTTTAGATGCGCCACCGACATTAGCGGGCCACCCACGTTATTATTATTGTTACCATTATTATTATTACTATTATTCGCACAACGATTACTAGAGTGTCCTGAGCACAATTTGTTGTTGGAAAGCTGACCACCCTCGAGAGGCGTTAAGTCATTGTCTCTATCATTGGACAAGAAAACAAAACATTTCAGTTTATTGACAATCCTCACACCACCATTTTCAATTTTTTTTTTTTTTTTTTTGCTTTTTTGCTTTTGCTTTTGCTACCCCCAAATTCTCAACAAATCCTCCCGTGGAACTCAACTTTCTTGCGGATCAAATTAAATACATTCAAGTTCATGTTCCTCTGTTTATATATTTTGAGTAGAAAATATAATTTAGTAAAAATTACTTTTCAGAAATCTTGAAATTTGAGACGCGATAAATGATAGAAAAAGGTAAAAACAAATTTTACGCGTTAGAAAAAATTGCTTTTTACTTCAATAATAGGAAACGGCAAAAAAGAAACAAAAAAGTCAAGAAAAAATTTTGTAAACTAATAAATGGAACAATAAATAAAAATTAAAAAAAAGCTTCCTTTCAAAATATAAAAAAAAAATTTAATCGAAAAATAATTCAATAATGCAGTAAAAAAAGGAAATAATTGACAAAAACAATTTTTGAGAAATGAAAAAATAATTTAAATATATAAAGAATAATTCAAAAATTAAAAAAAAGATAAAGATAAAAAAAATCTTTCAAAACTAATAAATGGCCAAAAAACTAAAAATTAAACAAAATTTTCCTTTTCCAAATAAAAAGCAAACTTAAAAATTAGAAATCAGCAAATAATTGAAAAAAACAATATTTGCCATCAAAGGATAAATTTATTTTTACTAGCAAAAAATACCTTTTTATTTAAATCGAAATGACATTCAATCGTTTAACTATTAAATTACTTTAATATTAAATTGTCAAACTGTTAAATAATTTAAGTTATCAAAAAATTGAATTATTAAATTATTGAACCATTAAATTATTGAACTATTAACCTATTTTCAAGTTCCCAAAAATTAATTCTCATCAAACATCTGTGTGATAACGATTTTTCATGAGCTGTCAAATGGTGCTCTTTAAATTCTCTATTTATAATTGATTTGATTTATTCGGAATGTTTGCTCAACAATATAAATCACGGAAAAAAAAAGAAATTTTTCATTCATCAATTTATTGCTCCATTTAATTAAAAAGTATTAAATAGAATTTGTAAAAATAGTCTTAAATGGCAAAAAAAAGAAAAGAAAAAAATTTCAAATACTCGTAAAATTATTTAAATATTACTCAATTACAAAATTGATAATAAACTGATGAAATATTATTCAATAATAAATTGATGATGATGATGATGATGATATAGTAATGATGAAATATTCTTCAATATTTATTTAGTTGGAAAGAAAAACATTAATTCAGAGGAATGTTTTTAAAGATTGAAAGAAAAAAAATTTATATTATATTCACACGTTGAATGTAAATTTCCACATGAAGGATTTGTATGAAAACAATTTTTCGAGTTCCACATATTTTCTCTATTGGAATGAAAAATAATTTTTCTCTTCACCAGCAAATTCAATCAATTTTCATTAATTAATTGACTAGTTTTATTAATTCATCAATGATATTTTTAATTAATTTTAATTAATTTTAATTCATTAAATTAATTTTGAGTAATTAAATTCATTCCTGATAATTATTAGGTAATATTAATTTTTAGTAATTATTAATAATAATAGAAATAAATATTTAGGTAATAATTTGATTCAGTTTGTTAATATTTCTAAATAAATTCACTTTATTCTTAATTTATTTATTCAAATTTAGATTTTGTTAATAAAAAATTTTGAAAGAATTTAGCCGAATTGATAAAACAGAATTATTATTTAATCAACAAATTTTAATTGACTTAAAATATTTATTATCTGCATGACAATTTAAAAAACAAGTTTCTATTTTTATTTATTTATATATCGCATTCATTAAATATTTTTTCTTTATTTAGCAAATTTTCCAAAATAACAATTTTCTATTAATGCAATTGATCGAATTTGCGGTTTCGCTGTTACAATTAATTCTATCTATTAATGAAGCGTGATGTTGAATTTCTAGTGCAGACATTTATTTAATGATTATTGCAACTTAATTAAAAAAGCTAATTTTTATTTTGTGCACGTTTATCACATTTTTAATTTCCTTCCTTCTTTTGTTTTATTCTCGATTTTCTCTACTACATTTACCTTTATTTTAAAGTAATTTAATTAATTAATTAATATTTTATTATTTAATTAATTATTTTTTTATTAATTATTCAATTAATTATTTTTCTATTAAAAAAAAGACTATAAAAAATCACTACTTTTCAAAATTTATTTCTTTTAAATTAAAATATTTATCTATAATTAAATTTAATTTGCCATTTAATAAATAAATTAACACTATTATTCACGCTTCAAAAAAATTACCTCTCACCCGCATCGAAAATATCAAAAATGAAGAAAATTTCTGTGAATCAGTGTTGTGTGTGTTAAGGCGTCGCATATAATTAAAAGTGCTCTGCATTCATGTCACATTAATATTAATAGGGAATTTATAAATTACTAAATTAATAAGACTTAATTGTTAAATTGTGTAATTTTTATTATTGAATATCAATAATGTTAATTATTAATTAAAGTTAAAAGTTAATTTTAGTTTTGTCAATTATTAAAATAAAATAGAAAATGTTAATTATCGTAATATTTTATTAGAGAGATTTTTTAAACCAATTACCAGAAAATTTTCAATTAATTAATAAAAATTTCACTAGTTAATTTTAATGAGAAAAAAAATTATTACGAGGGTTTCTTTGATGACAAAAAAAAATAGATTCAATGCGATGGAAAAATTAACAATCAGCCATCTAAATTTTCTATAAATTTGCAAGAATACCTTCACATTGATTGAGAAAAAAAAATAAATGAAAGCGACAATGATAAAATAAAAAAAAATCTATGTACACTGGGATTTTATTTTGCATCTAAATAATCTAAGAGCGAAAGATAGTTTTGTATATTCAAGAGTGGCCAGATCTCCAACACCGACGGAAAAAAACGCCCTTTAATAAATGCATGCAAGTTAAATATTATGCATCTTGTTTTCTTTTTTTTTTGTTTTTGTATTTTTTTTTGTAATTTAAAGCCTGTAAATTAAATTCGCCGTCGCTTCAGGCCAGTGTCAATAAGCAGTGCAACGATAACTTAATTCGAATGGTGAGCGATGGGAATTCCAGAAAAAGAGAAACAAGAATTAACAAATTTTTTTTCCGCGTCATTAATTAATAAAATTAATTATTAATTCAATGTAAATTTATCCCCGAAAAAATTAATCTTGGGCTAAAAATAATTCAACAGTATTTTTTCTATTTTTTCTATTTTTTCTAGTTCAAAATTTTAATTTTCTTCCGATTTTTTCATTCATGATATAAATTAATTAATTTCAGAAAACAATTAATAATCAAATTTATTATTTGACAAAAATTTTGAAATGAAAATATTAATTATAAAATATTATACAAAATTATACAAAATATTATGTATTAAATAAAAATTTGAAATTAGTAAAAGAAATTAAAATTTATTAACGATTGTTTCTCCTTTACTGAACGAAAAAGATAATTTTATTGCAGTAATAACTGTTATGAAAAAAAAACTTTGTGTATTGTGCATAAATGCTGTGAAATTGAAGGCATTAAACCCGCGCCGTTTTTTTTTTTTTTTAAGGAAAAAAGAACCTAAAACTAGTGCGAAATTTGATGATGATAAAACCCTCGGCTGAATTGGAGGAACGAGTGGATTAAACAAAAAGGAAACCTTCATGCAAAATGTAGCTCTTGCACCACATTGTGTATAAGAGTTTCTCACTTATTCAATAAAACGCTACAAGCTCTCTCCATCAGGTGAACATCCTCGTAAACAATTTACAAAATAGAATTATCAACTATTTATCCTTTTTCTACAATTTTGCATTTTTTTTCTTTTTTGAAACTGATTTTACATATTTTAGGAGAAAATTAGAATTTTGTGATTATTTAATTTTAATAAAGAGAATTTTACTAAATTGAAAATTTACTAAATAGAAATTTTAATAAATACAAATTTTATTAAATAGAAAATTTATTAAATAGAAATTTTATGAAATAGAAATTTTACTAAATAGTAAAAACTTTAAATCGAATTTAATTCTGAATCGAGAATGAGAACAAAAAGAAAAAAAAATAGTAACGAAAGGAAATTGCGAAGAAATTTTTTGTAAAGGAGGCATTTTTAATAAGAAGGGTTTTTCTCGGAGAAAAGAAAAGTTGACGTTTTGAGGAATATATTGAATTTTCTCAAGAGTGTTCGTGACCGAGGAAGAGAACTTGGCGCGTCTATTGTTCTAATCTCTCGCTACTCGAGATTGGTATGTCGTCCACTTACCCTATAATAGAGTTGATGGACATCACGTAGTCCGTGTCGTATCCACTCATCTCAGTCCCTTTGAATAATTTTGAATTTGCTTTAACGTTGAGAAATTTGTCTTGACTGACGCAAAGTCGATACATGGGACTTGAGCGTTCGCCGCCTTCCAGCGTGCCCTTCAAATGAGCAGTCAGCTCACTGAGATCAAGCGGGTGACACAAGTCCTGAATTGCAGTTCCAACCAGGTCCTTGTAAAAAAAAGAAAGAAAGATAATCAACGTTAAGAAAGAAATCATCGCACTATCTCTTTATCTCTTGTTATCGCTTTTGTGAATTTTTCCCCAAATTCCAATCTTAATTCTTTCGTTTCTTTTTCTCAATTCTTTTTTTTCTTCTAATTTTTCTCTCAATTTTTCTTTTTCCTCGTTTCTTTAAATTTTCTTCAAAGAGAAAAAAGAAGAATTGAGAGGAGAATTTAAAGAAAAAAAAATCGAAGGAAAAGAAGAATTGAGAATTGAAAGAAAAATGAATGCAACGAGGACAGGACAAAAATTTAATTTTGTTTTTCCCTGAATTCCCTGACCTATGGCAACCCTGGAGGAAAAAGGAATGAAAATTTGAAGAGAAATTAATAAAAAGAAAAATTGAGAGGAGAATTTGATGAAAAATGAATTAAAATTGAAATTCACCTTGTTTAGGTACGTAGAGTAAGATTGTGACAACCAACTGTTATCTAGAGCGAGGATTTTGCCAGACGGGTCCAATTTGACAGTGAATTGTTGGATGGCGGTGGTGATGGGTTTCTCATTATGGGGAATTCGTCGGGCAACGCACATCACGCATGGACCAATGTCTGATGATTCTGAAGATACATCGCCACTCTCAAGACGATCACTATTATTTGTAAGAAGCGCAGAACAAATTTGCATAGTCTCGTACTTATTTACGCGTTGTTGCTTCTCTTCCATAGTCTCTTCTTTGTCATCGGGAGGCTTCACTAGAAAGCGACAATTAAAAACACGATTCTTTGTCTGCGGTTGAGGCTCGCTCGTCCAGCCTGCTAATTAAAAAAAGAAACGAAAATCATGTCAAAAATTACTCCAAAATAATTTAAATACAAAGCTTCCTCATGAGGAAGCAAAAAAAAAAAAATTGTTCCTAACAAAAAATAATTCTTTTTGAAAATAATTTAGACAAATTAATTCGGAATGAGTAAAAAAATTTGTTCTTGTGAATTGGTTTTTTGAACATTATAACAAAAAGAGAAACGAAAAAAGAAATACAAACCTAATGATGACATTGGCAGCAAACTAGGCATGAAGGTGTTGTGATCTCCATGATGAATTATATTATAAATATCCTTTCCAAACACATCTTCTTTAGTATAATTTATATACTGGGATATATTATCCGTTACGTACTCAACGCGCCCCTCAGTGTTTACAACAAATAGAAAGCCATCTAACGCCTAAAAAAAATTGTTTCATAAGAAAACAAAATTTAGAAGAAAGGAATATTTTTCGAGAAAAAAACAATTTTAGTATTCCAAAGAGAAAAATTTGGGGAAAAATTTACTTAATTGTAAAAAATAATAGTAAATCTACTCAACAAAAGGAAGAAAAATTAACAAAATAATATAAAAATAAGGGAATAAAGAAAATAGAAATTAAATAAAAATAGTAACGAAGTAAATAAAGAAAAAAGAATAAATAAACTAAAAAATATAAATAAAATAAAGAAGAATAAATGAAAAAAATAAAAAAAACTAAAGGTAGTAATAAATTAAATAATTAAACAAATCAAACAAACTAAAAAAATAGAATAAAGTAAAAAAGTGTAAAAGAAACATATAGAAAAAACAAATAAAAGAAAAAAACTAAAAATAAAGTACAAAAATAAAAAAAAAATAAAAATAAAATAAAAAAACTAAAAATGTCGATAAACTAAATGAATAAACTTAACTAAAAACTAAAAAATACTATAAAATAAAAAAGAATAAAAGAAAAAAAAATTAAGAAAATAATTAAAAAACAAAAATAAAAGAGAATAAAATATTTTATTATAATTTTTTTTATGAAAAATAAGAGAGTAAAATAAATAAAATAAAAAAATAAAAAGACAATAAAAAATACTAAAAATCAAAGTAAATAAATAAACCAATTTAATAAACTAAAAAATAGAATAAAGAAAAAAGAATAAAAGAGACAAATACAAGAAAAAAATACAAATAAATAATACAAAACTAAAAAAATAAATAAAAATGTATAAAAATAAAATCAATAAAATAAAATGCTAATATGTTGATAAAAAATAAAAGAGAGTAAAATAAAAAAATGGAGAAAATAAAAAAACTAAAAATATAGTAACAAAGTAAATAAATAAACTAATCTAATAAATTAAAAAATAGTATAAAGAAAAAGGAATAAAAGAGATAAATAAAAGAAAAAAATACAAATAAAATACAAAACTAAAAAAATAAATAAAAATGTATAAAAATAAAAAGTTAAAAATGTCTATATAAACTAAACTAAAAACTAAAAAATAGACTAATAATGAAAAATAAAATCAAGAAAATAGGTATAAAAACTAAAAATAAAATAAAAATGTAACAAAAAAACTAAAAATAAAATAAAAATGTACTAAAAAACCTAAAAATAGTAATAAACTGAAAAAAATAAATAAAAATAAAAACAATAAAAAAATTAAAAAACGAAAATAAGAAAAACAATAAAAAAATAATTTTGAAACGAAAAGAAAATGGTAAATAAAAATATTTCGCGAAAAGGAATTTCTATAAACGCAAAAAAAGCAAAAAAAAATTCTCTCTAAAGTTTAATGTAACAGTTAAATAATACTATTTCTAAAATATGAATTTTCCTTACGATAAATCAATATATAAACGTTTTATCGCATTCGTTACACTGATAATGTAAAATAATAAACATAAATAAAAAAAAAAAAATCCACTGCCAAAAAATAAATTGACAATCATTTGAAAGATTTTTTTTTTGGAAAAAATGAGATAAATTTAAATCCGCGTTTATCTTATTTTAGTTTAAAGACAAGAGAAAACGACAAATGTTTTTTTTCTCTCTCTCTCAATTTCTCGATGAAGAATAAAACGAAAAGAACTATTTAATGACTGAATTGATAATATTTTCTGGGTCACTGGCCAAAGGTTAAGAATTTTTTTTTCCTTTTTTTCATTTTAATGTATATAAATGAACAGCAAACGAGAAAAATGTTTATGAAATACTGATAGTTCTCTCTTATCGTTAAACTGTATCTTCAGGCGCTTTTCATTTCCTTTTTTTTTCTCTTTGGGTCCCTAAAAAGTCCACTCACTTTGAACTTCATTGTCAGTTTATTATCATTCACGACAATCGCAATTGAATTACAAATATGAAAATTAACATTAAATATTGTCAATTTAATATTATTAACTATTAATTTTTTTCAATTTATTTAATTATTCAACTATTAATAATTATCAACTATCAACTATTATTAATAATTAATTTAATATTTTTATTTCTTGACATTTTTAATTGATTTAATATTAATAATTAATTATTAATTTGATTATTGATTTTATTATTCAATTTTTAATGATTGTTAGTCATTAATTAATAATTAATAAACTAATAATATTAACTAATTATTAATTATTAATTTAATACTATCGAATTTTTTTTAAAACTTTACCTTTCTTTACAATATAAAATTGCAATTTGTTAATTAAATAATTAACTTAATTTAATGTATTTAATTATTAATATGTAATTAAATGTGAATTTTTTATTTATTAATTTATTTATTAATTTATTATTTTATTAATAAATTCATTAATAAATTTTATCAATAAATTCGTTCATAAATTTTACCAATAAACCAAAAATAATTGACAGTAATTAGTATTTAGTTAGTATTTATTTAATTAGTATTTATTATTAATTTAACTAAATTAACTAAATTCGTGCCTAACAATTGTTGTCGAGAAAAAAATTAAAATACCTGCGTGAAAAAATAAATAAAAAAAATCTCACCTCAAGTAACATAGGGCCAACTTGATCGTTGGAAATAATGTTAGGATTCGATGAGGAAACTTCTCCCTGCTGAACAGCATGACTGTTGGAATTCTCTTGTTGCCTGATGTGCCGAATCTAAAAATAAATTATCCTGTTAATAAATTTAGAAAAATAATAAACAAACAATTATTTATAATTGATTTTTTTTTCTTCGAAAAATATGTTTAGAATTGTAAAAAAAAATTTCCAAATCAAAAATGATTATTTTATAGTTCAAAAAATCAATTTCAACTATTTTGATAATTTTCGAAATTAAAAATAATGAAAATTAGTAAATAATTAATTTTTGCTTATTTTAATACAGTTTGGAAATCAAACAATATTCAACTTAACTGAAAAATTAATTAAAATGATTAAAATAATCAATTTTGATTTTCCATTCTTTTTCTTTTTAAATAAAAATTCTTTTTTGCCAAAATTTACATAATAAATAATTTTAATACATATTTTATTTTGTCGGGATCATTAGTCTGTTTAGACTATGAATAATGCTGATAAGAGGGTTCTGAATTCTTTTCTCATTAATCATTCTCGAGGTATTCCGTGGTTGGTTCCGTGCTGTATTTCCGGGGTGTAACAAAGGAATCGTGAAATTAATGGTCTTTATACTATTCAATAATGTCCATTGATTTTAGGCTTTTACAAATACCTCAATATTGATTATTCACTTCTATAATATCAAAAATATAATTTGTCGTCTAAATAAGTCGTGCTCAATAAGGAAACAAATACAAAAAAAAGTTCCCTTATTTATTCGAAAATTTTTTACGTTCGTTAAATAAAAATGAATTTCTTTTTCAACTTCCTTAGAATGTATAAAAATAAATAGTAAATGATTATTATTCACAATTATTAACATTAGTTAACATAATAATAAGAATGAATAAAAGATTATTTTTACTAATTTTTGAATTGAAAATTATCAATGAGCCACGTGGCTCTTATATTCCTGCTACTTCATCTTGCTTGTGAGAGAGATTTGTTGCCCTCTAACGGTCAATTACAAAAAAAAAATTGGCGCGAAATTCAAATTATGCAAAAACAAAAAAGCAAACTTAGTAAATTAATTTGATAAATAACAATTAGTAATTATTAAATTTATTCAATAATAATAAATTAATAAGATTATAATATATAATTATATTATATAACTATAATTAATAATAATAAAAATTCCTTGATTTCACCTCCTTTCAGAGAAAATAATAAATTAAATTTACAAAATCGAATATTTAATTTGAAATTTAATTATTTATAATAATTATTATTTGTATATACTTAATATAATATATAAATAATAAATAAATTATGTAAATTTTATATAAATGTAACGTGTGTAATAAAATGACTTTTACATTGCTTCTATTTCAACTCGTTTATGAGAGAGATTTGTCGCCATCTGAACGGACAGTTGGAGAAACTATTGGCGCGAAATTCAAACTGAACGTAAGAAAAAAAATTTATTTCGGAACTTTTTTTGAAAAGAAAGAATAAATTATATTAAATTATTATTATAAATTAAATTACTAATCATAACTAATAATAAAAAACAATAAAAATAGAATATAAAACCAAAGTAAAGAATCTTTACGAGCCAGTGACTACTATACTGCTTCTAGTTCATCTCGTTTATGAGAGAGATTTGTCGCCATCTGAACGGATAGTTGTAGAAACTATTGGCGCGAAATTCAAAAAGCGAAATAAGTGAAAATAAATAAATTTGTCAACATTTCTATTAAAATCAGAGAATTAAAAAAAGATTCAAGACAAAATATCAGAAATATCGCAGCAAACAAATGTCCCTCAATTCAAAATTGTCAAATAAAAACAAAATCAATAGAAATATTTAAAAAGAGCAGAATTTTTCTGCAGTGCGTTGAAAAAGAATGTCTGACTTCGCAGTTAATCTATCTCAGCGGGTCATTGAATCCAGGCCTCCCTTTTCCGGAGTCATTGACCCCAGAGAGGCAAAAAAAAAATAAACTAAACTTGACACCCTTAATTTAATTTCCATACAACAGTACGACTCTTAAAGAGAGACAAAAAAAAGATTCCTTTTATATTCGACTAACAATTCAAAAAAAGGATGAAGCAAGGAAAGTCGCAAAGTGTTAAAAGAAGAATTCTGATAACTCATAAGTTAGCATTTTCCGTAATCGCGAACTCGTTTCGTTGCAAATATAGATAGAAGGAAGGAGGATCAAGCAACTACAGCAGCAGCAGCAGCACCAGTGAGCACAAGAGAGTGAATTGCGTTAAATGCAATCTCTGTTTTACCGTCAGGGGTTCACGGTCGATTCGAGGGAATGACCTTGAGCTCGTATTTCCCGCGGCCGACAGATCGCGTCGTAATCGCAATGAGTTAACATGTGGCCTCGAAAAGTCGGTGACTTCGCGGTAGTACAAGGAGTTCGACTGGCGGCATGATGCGACGTTGCCACTATTTTCACGGCGCTTATTTCGTGCATCGTGCTGCGATTTGTTGTAAAAATTCTTCCGGCGTCACCTTCTTCTTCTTCTTCTCTTCTCTCTTTAAAACCGTGGCGAATCGACCGTCCCATTTTCATTAACTTACAAATATCTTCCGTGTATTTTTTTCCCACCGAACAAAAAAAAAAAAAATTCATCAAAAACAGAGGTAAGCAAAAATATTCGCATTTTTTTCCCCCTAGAAACTAGAGATTTGAACAAGATTTTCACAGGTGGTCGTTGAGTAAAGACGCCAAAGACAAGGAAGCAATATCAGATCGACGTTATTCGCACCTAGAGACACGCACACAAATCTCTCGTAGGACTTGTGACAACAAAAAAAAAAAAAAGAAGTTACTTGTGATAATTAATATGAGTAAGGCAGAAACAGTTATCCGGGATGGCGAACTTTTTCGTGAGGTCAACAATTTGAAGAAATGAATCACATACATTAGCGAACGAACTGGAGACATTGTTCTACTCCTACGAGGCAGTGTTTTATGAGCGTATTAACATTTACACTTCCTGTAACTTGTTTGCGCATTCTGATTATAATTGTATTCAATATGTAATACAATTACTTAACCAGATGACCATAAAGTACTCTCTGGTCCTCAACAAAAGGTGGTTTTTTAGGAAACTAAATCGTAAATTTCAGAAATCTTCCCATTCAACAGCAAGGTAATAATAATCATTATTAATTAATTAATAATTAAAGAAATATTAATCCAAAGTTTCTATTTTTGGAATTTTCTTTTCTAATCGAAATTAATTTTATTAATACATTCTTCATTTAATTTTATACTTTCGTAATTTAATTCTCTAATCGAAATTAATTTTATTAACGTATTTTTTATTTAATTTTCTATTTTCGTAATTTCATTTTCTAATCGGAATTAATTTTATTAACATATTTTTCATTTAATACTTGATTCGAACTATATTTGTATTCTTTAATTAATGGCAATCAGGCCTCGCAGTCAACTCCATCTCGCTTGTGAGCGAGATTTGTCGCCACCTGACGGACACTTACACAAAATAAAGGCGCGAAATTCAAATTGTACGAAACAAAAAAGCGAAATAGAAGAAAATAAATCAATAACTATTTTCGAAAGTTGAGAAATACCTAAATTTACTATTTTTTTTTACCAAATACTACAAAATTCTAATAAATTAGTTTCTTTTCGTAACTAATACGGAAATACTAATAAAATGTAGTGATTGCAATAATAGTTAATAAATTAATTTTACAAAATACAGAATTTTTTTTTCGACTGTAAAATAATTCCCAGGGTGGATAAAAAAAATGCACGAGAAAAATTCTTTACTGTCACTGACAGATGTTAGAAGAAGAAACATCAACTTCTTTTTTGATTCCTGGAATAAGGAATGAATACAGACAGAGGCGCATAGTCAATTATTAAAAACAACTTGAGATTCGACCCCCGTACTGGAAACCTTGCTCTCGATTCATGAAGAGGGGCAAGCATATAAAAATCATATTTTTGAATATTTTTATTTATAAACATCAAGTGTAGTCGTCATCGTTTGTGGGATATATTCGGGAGTTAAAAATAAAAAATTATTGCAAAATCATTTTTAATCAAAGAAAAAATTGTGACTGCAGATTTGGAAGTCTTTATAGGGACTTCACTCAGTCATATAGACATTTTTATTATGAGATATTTAAATTTTTAAAAATTATTTCCAATACAACTTTAATTACATTTTCTCGAATAGAATTCAATATTATTAAAAAAAAAAATGTTGATAAAGTTCTTGAAATTATTTCAATTATTTTCAAAAATTCTTTTGATAAATACTTTGCAAGAATTCAATGATTTTCAGTAATCAATTTTAAAATTAATATTTGAAAATTGAAAATATTTAAAAAGGAAAATTGTTTCTAAAGTTAGGAAACAAAAAAGCAAACAGTAACAGATTGCCGAAATACAACGATTATTAATTAATATATATTTTTTCTTATTGTTTTTCTCAACTTATGTTCAATTTTTTATTTTTGCCTATTTCTTCAGTACGAAGAATAAAAGAAAATTAATTTTCGATCAGAGTTTAGAGGAGGAAGACCGAATCAATTGAACTTTTGTGACAAAAACAATCTGTACCAATAAATTAAGATTCTCTTTTTCATTTATTTATCGCATTCATGGTCACTTATCATTCACGCCTTTCCGTCGCACTTGAGCTTCGTAAGAGGAAGAGATTGCTGAATAGGATACAACCAATTGTCGCACCGAAGTCTCTCGTATTGTAAAATATTGTCAATTTTCCCCGACGAATTTCAAAAAAACACTAGAAATTTTTTTTTATTTGAATTCTAAAATATAACTCTGAATTTTTTTTAATAAAATAATTTTTTGTTCAATGGAAAATTTTCAATGGTAAAACTATTGAAAACTATTTAACAAAAATAATTACAAAGAAAAATAATTATTTTCTGTAACTCCCTAATAGTTTTTTAATGAAACTATAAATTATAATCACGGTGGAGAAAAATGAGGACAAGAAAAAAAAAATTGAAAAGAAATACTGTTTAAATTGTTAAAATTCTTGAGTGTAAAATAAACAATGGCACTTCTTCTTTTTTCTTCTTTTATAATAAAGAAGATTAGTCAATAAATATTACGCGTAGAAATTGAATGACGACAGTTGGACTCTTTCCATGGTCTCTCGACACAATATATAGATATATAATTTGTGTGTGCAACTTTTATGAGGCGATAACTAATCATCGCTTGATCATAAGCACAATATGTTGCATCGTGCAACACATTTCACTTTTCTTCGGTGCTCACGAGGAAAAATATATATTATATCTCTTTCAGTGCTCTATACACGAGTCACTCGATTGCTCATATCAGTATAATAAGTATTACGCTGGCATAGTTTCACTTTATACACTGAACTTCAAAATTAAGTGTCGTAAACATCTATAAATATAGATATACTTTCACAAAAAATTTTAGTCTCCAAAGAATCTCGTACCAAGAAAAAAATATTTACGAGTTTTCTTCAGAAACAAAAAAATATGTTCAGTTTTTTTATTTTGTTTCAAATTTCAAACAATTTGTTTATTAATTTTTCTCCTTAGTGAAAATCGGATAATTTGTAAAATAAATATTTACAGTTAAATAGGATTTAAATTATAATTTAATTACAATAAAAAGATATTTTTAACTTGCAAAATCCTTATGAAATAATAAATTAAATTAATGCACTGAAAATTACTAAATTCTTGCAAAGTTTTTATCCAAAAATTTTGAAAATAATTAAAGTCACTAGAGACGAATTTTATCAAAATATTATTTAAATTCAATTATTTTCGTGAGTTAAATAAAAATTTAATTATTTTCAACTATTTTGACAAACATTCTTCAAAACCAATTCTTTTAATAAAATGTAAAATTCTTGGCAAGAATTCAATTATTTTCATAAATAATAAAATTTTCGAAGAAATTCGGAGAAATTCGATTATTTTCAATTTAATTATATATTTCAATATTTTCAGCAAAAATTATTAAAAAAAACTCCATTATTGCCAAGAAAATTGAAATAAATTCTTCAAAACAATTCAATTATAATTTTAAAGAATTTAAATATAAATTTTGACAAGAATTAAATTATTTTCAATACAATTTTAATTATATTTTCTCGAAAGAATTCAATTATTTAAAAAAAATATTATTTAAATTCAATTATTTTCAAGAGTTTTCATAAAAATTCAATTATTTTCAACTATTTTGACAAAAAAAAAAATTCTTCAAAACAATTAAATTCTTTTAATAAAATGAAAAAAGTCTTGTCAAGAATTCAATTATTTTTATAAATAATAAAATGTTTCGGAGAAATTCAATTATTTTCAATTTAATTATACATTTCAAAATTTTCAGTAAAAATTATTTAAAAAACTCCTTTATTTCCAAGAAAATTAAAATAAATTCTTCAAAACAATTCAATTACTATTTTAAAGAATTTTAATATAAATTACCTTCCCTGACTTTTTTTTATAAAAATAAAAAAATCTAATAAAAATTTGTTGAAAGAATTCAATTATATTAATAAATAATAATATTCTTCACAGAATTACAATTATTTAAAAAAAAATTTAATAAAAATTCGTTGGAAGACTTCAAATATTTTCCCAAATAATAATAAAATTCCTCACAGGATTTCAATTATTTTATTAAAATTCTTCATAGGAAATAAATGAACAATTATCAATTATTTTTAATAATTTTTTTCAAAAGTTTCAGAAGTATTTTCAAATCAATTTGTTTACAATTCAATTTTAAGAATTTTTTCAATTATTCAGAAAATCTTCAATTCGATATTTAGAAAATAAAAACTTGAAATAATTTTTAAAAAAAATTTAATTAAAATTTTTTAAAATGCAATTATTTCTAATAATTTATTCTATAAAATTTTTAATTACTTTTAATATTCAATTATTATCTGAAATTTTAACTAAAATTTATTTTTAAAACAATTTTTATTCAATTTTCATAAAGAATTTTATCAAAAAATTTTTAAATAAATAAATTCTTTCGACGAACTTTAATTAAATTTTTAAGAATAATTACATTTTTTAAGGAATTCGGTTAAAATTGTATTAAAAATAATTTAAATTCTATGATTCTATTATTTATGAAAATAATTGAATCTCTCTAAAAAATTTTATTATTTATGAAAATAATTGAATCTCTGTAAAAAACTTTATTATTTATGAAAATAATTGAATTTTTGCGCAGAAATTTATTAAAAAAAATTTTAAATAGTTGAATTCCTCTGATATTTGTATTATTTATGAAAATAATTGAATTTTGAAGAAGAATTTTATTATTTTTAAAGATAATTGAAATTTTGAAGAGAAATTTTTTAAATTTACAAAATTTTTGAACATAAGTGAATTTTTGCAAATTTTGTAACTTCTTTAAACTTCAAATTTTTTTAAAACTAAAATTCTTCTATAAATCCATGTTTTTTAATGATTAATTAAATATGTATGTATTTAAAAAACTTCAATAAAACCTAATTATGAATCCTGCAAATTTAATTTTTTTCGGGAATTTAATAATAATCCCTGACTTTTCCCTGATTTCCTTGACAAATTCTACTTTCCCTAACTTTTCCCTGAAATTCTAATTAAATTTTTTTTTTATTTTGTTTGTAATTTTATTTTTTTATTCATTTTATTTTTATTTTATTAAAAATTTTTTTTTCTAATTATAAAAGTTGCATAAAAGTCTTAAAATATTGGAAATTTTTGTTGGTTTTAAATTCTAAATTAGGTAAAAACTTAATTTAGATTATTCTCACAATAATATTTAAAAAAAAAATTTTTTAAATTAAAAAAAGGGGGACCAACTATATTTTATTAATTATAAAAAAAGTTTTTGAGGGACAAAATGGTGGTTTAATCTTTTTTCTCCACTTGAGAACGTCAAGGTCGCCACCAGGTGGCAGAAGAAATTTCAAGAAAGAACTAAACTGCCATCTAGCGGTGACCTTGGCGTTCGCAGGTGGATAAAAGCATCTCCATATTGAATATCAAAATTTTCGTCAATATTCGTAAATTATATAATTATTTACAATCAAATTTAGACAGTTTGCCAATTAATATAAACGACTTTCAATTTTTAATTCACTTTCCTTTTTATTTTTATCCCTTTCAAATTTTCTTTCAACTTTTCTAGAGTCTTGGAATTAATTTCTTCACTTTAAAATTGATATTTAAAATATCGTTTTAAGAAATTCGTGGCTTTTCTAACGAAATGAGTAACTTATTAATAAAAATAGTAGCTAAATAGTTGCACGAGGTGAAAAGTGGAATAAAATTCCGGAGAGAAAATAATTTTCTCGTTAAGAATTGGCGCGTGTATATTCAAAGGGGAAAGAGTGGAAAAAATGACGTCTCAAACGAAGAGAAGAAGATAAAGAAGAAGAAGAAAAGTCGTCATGGCAACGAGCCATGATCTCCACTCAATCAAGGACTGTTTACTACTTTCTCATGGTCCTCAAGAGTCGCAAGGATATGAGAAAAAAATCTTTATTTCTGAATTTAATAAAGAAAAAAAAACTAATCCAGAAAAATTGAATTCAACTTCACTATTTATATAAGAAACAATTCTCAAATAAAAAAAAAAAAGAAAAAAAAATTTTTCTTTCTCTACAAAGAAAATATTAAAAAGAGAAAAAAAATTCTCTCAAACAAAACAAAATCGATCACTAACTTTTTTTTCCGCCCTCACACACTTCTACTGCGCAAAAATTTTCATCTCCAGAGAGAACATCAATATATATACATTGTACGCGGAATATATTAAAAGTAGTTAATCATATTTAGCCAACGCCCACAACTAAAAAATCTATGTCTGAGCAAACTTTTTAAACATAAATTTTATTCACTGGACGAAAACAATTCGAAAACTAATAAACTATTTTTCTTTCAAATAAAATTGATGATAAAATTTAAAAAATCAGAAATATTTTATTTTTCTTTTTTTGGGGAGTTTTTTAGAATTTTATTCTCCGTTTTTGGTATAGTTGAAGTTGAAAATAGAAAATTTCCAAAGGAGATTGAAAATGGTGAAAATTAAAAAAGAAAATGATTTCTTACCTGATCGACGGTTCTCTGGAGGATTTGACATTTATCAGTCTTGCCAGAGCTCATATCCGTGGCGGAAATCAGCTCGGCAAGCTCATCGATATACTGGTTCTCCTGGGTCCGTCGTCGTTTCTCGTTAAGGCACTTGTTGCTAAAAAAAAGAGAAAAAAAGAAAATTTTAATGTCAAAATTGACCAAAAATAAATTTAAAATTTTCGATTTTATTATATTATTTTATTCTTGTTAATTATTACAATTTAAATTATTAAAATGTTCACAAAATCATCAATGTCATTATAACAATTTCAAAACAAATTTTTTTTTAATACAATTTTAATAAAATTTCTCCAAAGAATACAATTATTTGTAAAAATATTATTCAAATTCAATTATTTTCAACCAATTTGATAAAAAAAATTCTTCGAAACAATTCAATTCTTTTTATAAAATGTAAAATTCTTGTCAAGTATTCAATTATTTTCATAAACATTAAAATGTTTCGGAGAAATTCAATTATTTTTAATTCAATTATATATTTCAAAATTTCCAGTAAAAATTATTAAAAAAAACTTCTTTATTTCCAAGAAAATTGAAAAAAATTCTTCGTACTGATTTAAATTTTGAAGAATTTTAATATAAAATTTGCCAAGAATTAAATTATTTTCAATACAATTTTAATTATATTTTCTCGAAAGAATTCAATTATTTTTAAAAATATTACATGAATTCAATTATTTTCAAGAGTTTTCATAAAAATTCAATTTTTTTCAATTATTTTGCCAAAAAAATTCTTCGAGACAATTCAATTCTTTTTATAAAATGTAAAATTCTTGACAAAAATTCAATTATTTTCATAAATATTAAAATGTTTCGGAGAAATACAATTATTTTCAATTCAATAATTATATATTTCAAAATTTTCAATAAAAATTATTTTAAAAAAACTCTTTTATTTCAAAAAAAATTGAAATAAATTCTTCAAAACAATTCAATTATTTTAAACAATTTTAATATAAATTTTGACAAGAATTTAATTATTTTCAATACAATTTTAATTACATTTTCTCGAAAGAATTGAATTATTGAAAAAGAAATTGATGAAATTCTTGAAATGAATTCAATTATTTTCAAATTTTTTTTTATTATAACTTTACAAGAATTCAATGATTTTCAGTACATCGACAATTTAATTATTTCTCAAAATAAATGAATTCTTGAATAGAATTTTATTAAAAACTTTTTTAAATAATTGAATTCCTGCGAAAAAATTTTTTTATTTCTACAAATAATAATTGAATTTTTGCAAAACTTTAAAAAAATAAGTGAATTTTTGAGGAGAATTTTATTAAAATTGTATTTCAAATAATTAAATTCCTATAAAAATATTATTGAATTATTTCGATGAATTTAAAAAAAATGTTTAAAAATAATTTTATTTTCTCTGGAATTCAATTAAAATTGTATTTAAAATAATTGAATTCCAGCGAAAATTTCATTATTTTTAAAAATAATTGAATTCTTGAATTGGATTTTATTAAGATTTTTTTAAATAATTGAACTCCTGTGAAAAATTCAATTATTTTTTTAAATAATTGAATTTTCTCGGACAATTTTCACAAGATTTTTAAACATAATTGAAATTTTCGAAGAAATTAATTAAAATTGTATTGAAAATAAATAAAATCCTGATAAGAATTTTATTAATTATATATAAAAATAATTGAATTTTTTACGAAGATTTTTATTATTTATAAATTGACTAAAGAATTTTATTACAATGATTGAAAATAATTGAATTTTATGAAGAATTCAATTATTTTTAAAATGTTTTTTATAAGTATTTTACAAGAATTCAATGGTTTTCAGTAAATTAATTTAAAAATTTTAAACATTTAAACAGAAAATAAATAAATTTATTTCAAATAAATACATTTTATTTTTTCTTTCTCCCTTCAAATAAATTCTTTTCATTTTTTATTTCCATTTATTTTCATTCTACTTATTTCTATTTTATTCTTTAAATTCTTTTTTCTATTTTATTTTTTAACTTTATTTTACTTTTTGCTGAAAAAAATGAACTGTTCAACTATAATATCAAATTTAAAAATAAAAAGAACTAAAAGTAGTTGTAATTTAAGATCTATTGTTAATCATTTTAACCAAAATGAACATTATTTTGTTGATTTGTGACTTATTCTATTTTTAAAAACCATTCCGTCTTTATTGGTTTAACTTATCTTCAATGAGTTTTTAACATTTTTTTTATTTATTTTGGAAATGAAAATTGAAGAAAAATTTTTTAAATGAAAACTATTGATAAAATTCAGTATAATTCGAAAAATATTTCAGTAAAAACATTTTTAATTAAACATTTTATTATTTTAACAGCAATTTCAATTTGGATTCAATTTTATTAATTTGTTAAATTAATTATTTCAATTGTAATTCCAATTGTATTATTTTATTAATTATTTCAATTGTAATTTCAATTTTATTATTTAATTAAATATTTCAATTCTTTTTCAATTCAATTGTATTTTTTTATTATTTTAACTGCAATTTCAATTTTATTAATTTGTTAAATAAAATATTTCAACTGTAATTCCAATTGTATTATTTTATTAATTATTTCAATTGTAATTTCAATTTTATTATTTAATTAAATATTTCAATTCTTTTTCAATTCAATTGTATTTTTTTATTATTTTAACTGCAATTTCAATTTTATTAATTTGTTAAATAAAATATTTCAACTGTAATTCCAATTGTATTATTTTATTAATTATTTTAATTGAAATTGAAATTTTATTATTTAATTAAATATTTCAATTTTATTAATTTGTTAAATTAATTATTTTAATGGAAATTTCAATTTCACTACTTTATAAAATATTTCTCAAAACTGCTCTTTCGAGATAAAAGAGCAAAAAAAGAAAATGATTTAATTATTTTCTAAACTAATTTCCAAACAAAGATGGAAGGGATGATCTCTACAATTTCACAGCTGATAGTTTTGTGATTATTTTCGTTTTAATAAAAAAAGAAAAAAGTTCGAACTTTGAGCTTTATTATTGGAATGATATGCCATTGTGACATTGGAGATATAGAAACTGGATATTACGTTTGAATAATTTTTCTCGAATATTTTCATCTGTCAAGATTGAAATACGAATCGTATTCTCTTTCGGGATGGAAGATTATTTCAATATGAGATCTCTTGGACTTTCTTTATTTATTATTATTTTTATTATTACTATATTTATCAAAGAATATTCTGACGACGACTATATATTGACCAATTGAATTTACGACGTAAATTATTAAAAATTATTATTGTCGATATCGCTCTTCATCATACGAAGAAATAGTTTTTAATCGAACTCTTTATGAAGTTTGTTTCTTTGATCGAACTTTCCATTTTTTCTGCGTTGTATAGAAAAAAAAACTTTTTTCTTTGTCAATTTTTTTCTTTCTAAGAAAATTTTTCTATCGTTTCGAGGAGAATTATTTATTTCTTTTTTATTTTGCTTTAATTTCTTCTTTTGGGAATAAAATAATTTTCCCTTTTTGTCTCGAAGAGAATGTTTATAATTTTTTCTTTGGAAATAAAATAATTTTCCCATTTTGTCTCGAAGAGGATCTTTATAATTTTTTTTATTTTTATTTTTTCTTTTGGAAATAAAATAATTTTTCCTTTTTTCCTTGCGAACAGGATCGTTTCAATTAATAATTTTTTCTTTTGTAAATAAAAAATAAAATTTCCTATTTCAAGTAGAAATAAAAATAAATAGAAATAAAAAACTAAACTTTATTTATTTGAATAAATTTCAAGGAAAAAAGAATTTAAAAATAAAATATCAATTTATAAATTTAATACAAAAATATCAAAATTTAAAAAAATTCTCCCAAGAATTTATTGAAATATAAGAACAAAAAATAAAAGAAGTTGCATGCACTCTTTTTGAGAACCTGAATTGCAATGTCAATAGAAATAGAACTCGATGGAGGAAATGACGTTTCAGAAAAAAGAGAAAAAAAAGAGAAAGAGAAAGAAAAAGAAAAATAAGAAATGAGAAATACGAAACTTACATTTGTGACTGTGGCTTTGCATCTGATTTCTTTCTCTTCTTAGTGACACTGCCAGTAATTGCACTCATTTTGACCCACAATGGGTCCTGCAGGTCACACGGGCCAGGCCTAAAAAAAAGAAAGAAAAAATTTCCATTAAAAAAATTTTTCTTTTTTTTTCCCTCCCTAAATTCCATATAAATATCTAACAACAGACAAAATTTCTCACTCAAACAAGAGAAAAAAAAGAAAAAAAAAAAAAAAAAAAAACCGTATGCGTTTCCATATTACCATACAGTCTGTGATCAAGATAAAGTAGCAAAAACAGTTTTTGCTGACGATGTCTGCCTTATTCCATATATTCCGGAACAGCAGGTCGATAAATATCTAAAAAGAATGAATTCCGTCGTATCAAAAAAAAGAGAAAAAAATTGACCATACGACGATCGAGAAACAAAAATCCCTCAAAAGGAATTGAAATAAATTTTAAATATATTTTACATTCTTAAAAACGAGGTTTCAATTACAATAAAGGAAATTTTTTTTTCCTTCTTTATTTTCTATAAATTTTATCCATTAATAGCCTTTTATTATTTAATTTTTTATTATTGGGTAGGTATTAATATTTTTATTGTTATTATTATTTTTTTAATGTTATTTGTTCAAAAAAGTTAATTATTTACAAAAATCCTAATAAAGTCCTACGCAAGAATTCAATTATTTTTACAAGTAGTAAAATTTCTCAAAAAAATTCAATTAATTAAAAAAAATAAAATGTAATAAAATTCGTTGCAAGAACTTAATTATTTTCATAAATAATAAATCGATAATTCGCTAATTCATTTTTAAATTAATTTTTATTAGAAAATTCTACGAGAATTCAATTATTTAAATTCAAAAATAAACAATTTATTGAATAATTGAATATTTGTTAAAATTAAATTCTCATAATGAATGTTATCAAAAAATTTTTTAATAATTGAATTGTTTGATAAATTTTAATAAAATTTTTAAAAATAATTACATTTTTCGAGGAATTCGATTAAAATATTGTATCAAAAATAATTAAAATCATGCGATGAGTTTTATTATTTATGAAAATAATTCAAATTTTCTCAAGAATTTTATTTAAAAATTTTTTAAAATAACTGAATTTCGGAGAAGAATTTTATTATTTATAAAGATAATTGAAATTTTGACAAGAATTTCTTTTTAACTTTTGAACATAAAAATAATTGAATTTGAATAATATTTTTAGAAATAATTGAATTTTTAGAAAAACTCTTGAAAAGAATTGAATTTAAATAATATTTTTAAAAATTATTGATATCTTTCGAAAAAATATAATTAAAATTGTATTGAAAATTATTTAAAATAATAATTGAATTATTTTGAAGAATGTATTAAAATTTTCTTGGAAATAAAGGAGTTTTTTATAATTATTTTTGCTGAAAATTTTGAAATATATAATTAAATTGAAAATAATTATATTTCTCCGAAACATTTTATTATTTATAAAAATAATTGAAGTATTGACAAGAATTTTATAATTCTAGAAAAAGAATTTAATTGTTTTGAGGAATTTTTTTGTCAAAATAGTTGAAAAAATTGAATTTTTATGAAAACTCTTGAAAATAATTGAATTGGAATAATTTTTTTAAAAATAATTGAATTTTTATGAAAACTCTTGAAAATAATTGAATTGGAATAATTTTTTTTAAAAATAATTGAATTTTTATGAAAACTCTTGAAAATAATTGAATTGGAATAATATTTTTAAAAATAATTGAATTTCTATATGAAAACTCTTGAAAATAATTGAATTCTTTCATAAAATGTTATTAAAATTTTTCTAAAATAATTGAATTTCGGAGAAGAATTTTATTATTTATAAAGATACTTGAAATTCTTAAAAGAATTTTTTTTTTAATTTTCGAATATAATTGAATTTTTGCGAAGAATTTTATTACTTTTGAATATAATTTTATTCTTCCAACGAATTTTATTCAAGTTTATAAAAATAATTGAATTTCAGTGAAGAATTTTATTATTTATAAAAATAATTGAATTCTTGAAAAGATCTTTGTTAAATTTTTTTTTTAATAATTGAATTCTTGTGATGAATTTTATAAAAAATCTTTTTAAATAATTGATATTTTTCTAAAAATTTTATGAAATTTTGTATTTTAAATAATTAAAATCCTGTGAAAATTGTATTACTTACGAAAATAATTGAATTATTTCGAAGAAATTTATTAAAATTTTTAAAAATAATTGAATTATTTCGAAGAAATTTATTAAAAATTTTGTAAATAATTGAATTCCTGTAAAATTTTGCCAAGAATTTTATTAAAATTTTTAAAAATAATTGAATTTCGAAGAAGAATTTTATTATTTATAAAGATAATTGAAATTCAATTCATTTTTTCTTTTTTATTTCATTCAATTTTGCAAAAAAAAATTAACAAATATTTTTACTAATGTGAATTAATGGTTTAACTAAATTTTACGAAGAAAGAGAAAGTAAAAGAAAAATTACGAAAAAGAAATAAAGAAATTGTTGGGAAAAATAAAAGTATTTAAAAATTAAATTTAGTAATAGGAGAATCAACTGCGTTAAAGATTTTTTTTTTTTTTTTTTGATTAGGAAATTCTTATTGGAAATTAACAAACCATCGTTACGTGGCATACTGTTATTACGAGCATAGAGAAAACTGGGTTACCGTCTTGAAAAGAACCTCGAAAAAGGACAGAACAACTGTATAAACTTATCATTAATGAAATGGGTACTTGCAATTATGTGCAAGTACACTCACACAATTCTACACATATTTATCATTTTATTGCAACTATTAAATTTATTTTCAATCAATTTTTCACTCTTTCACGAAATTCGTAATTAATTATTTTAATAAAAATAACTCTTTAATTAAAAAATTGTTAAATTAGAATAATTTACTACTCATAAATAATTATAACCCCCCCCCCCCCTCCCAAAATTTTAATTATTTTCAATTTTCGCTATTACAAAATAAAATAATTTTTATTTGTATATAAATTATAACATTTATAATATAAATTATTAAATAATGAATATTTATTTATTTATTTATTATTAAATAATATAAATTGTAAATGTGCGCTAAAAATACACAGTTTAAATTATTCCTACAAAAACATTTTTTGCATTTTATTAATTATAAAAAAAGATTTTAGGGTTAAAATGAATTTTTCTCCACTTGAGAACGCCAAGGTCGCCACCAGATGTCAGTAAAAATTCCAAGAAAGAACTAAACTACCATCTAGCGGTGACCTTGGCGTTCGCAGGTGGAGAATAGAGTCTCCATATTGAATCTCAAAAATTTTAGTCAATATTCCTAATTCTATATTTATTTATTATTTAGAGAGTTTGACAATTAATACAAACAAATTTTAATTTTTAATTTACTTTGTTTATCGATATTTTTATCCCCTTTAATTTTTTTTTCGAGTCAGACATAATTTCTATCACAAAGAAAATTTTTCATCCATTATCCAAACGGAAAAATAAATAGCAAATTTTTTTTTATTACTGAAATATTAAAAATGTGATAACATTTTTCATTTCGGTAATGAAAAAAAAAAAATTTCTTTCATGGAAAATAGAAAAATGTTATTAAATTCCAACGAATTGAAAATGACATTAGCAATTTATTTTCATAAAATCAGAGTATGCAAACTGTAAATGTGTGTACGTAAAAATAGTACTCGTGTTTACGGCAATCGGGTCGTATTGCCCTTTATGAGGCTCATCAGTGGAATTGATACCGGAATCATATGGGAGATGAAACGGATGAATACAAATCAGCGTAATGCGCGCGAGATATATAGTAGGAAGGGAGTGAGAGAGTGAGTGAGTGAGTGCAAATGAAAAAGAGGTCGGGAAAAGCGTTTTGCAAGTGCATATAACCCACGTGTCGTATCAAGAGCACCAAGCACGTGCCAAATTCTCGTTCATTCGAACAAGCGAATTAATCCATTTCAAATAAGAGAAAATTATTCTAATTGAAGGGGTTTTCATTGAAAACTTATTTCATTTGTTATTTATAGACAAAAACAACAATCCACAGTAAATAATAATACTAATAATAACCATAAATACAAATTTTTATTATTAAGTAAAACGTAAAGTAAAATAAAAAAGTGGCGTTGCTAATAATAAAAAAATAACTAAATTCGAATTAGTAAATTTTACTGATAAATAGTAATTTCTACTAATCTACTAGTAAAATTTACTTACTGACATTTTGCTTTTAAATTAGTAAATTTTACTAATAAATAGTAAATTCTACTAAATTTACTGACTGACTTTTTGGTTTTGAATTAGTAAATTTTACTAATAAACAGTAAGTTCTACTAATTAATTAGTAAATTTTACTAATAAACTTCTTCTAATTTATTAGTAAAATTTACTAATAAATAGTAATTTATACTAATTTAATAGTAAAATTTACTTACTAAATTTTTGCTATTGAATTAGTAAATTTTACCAACAAACAGTAACTTCTACTAATTTATTAGTAAATTTTACTAATGAATTGTAATTTCTACTAATTTACTTGTAACTTTTTGCTTTTGAATTAGTAAATTTCACTAATAAATAGTAACATCTACTAAATAATCAGTTAATTTTTCTAATGAATACTTATTCCTACTAATTAAAAAAGCAAAAAAATCAGCCACTAATTCAAATTGAAAATCATTTTTACTAATTCAAAAGAGAGAATTATTCTAGGAAAGAATTTTATTTAAATTTTATGAAAATAATTAAAATCTTTCGTGAAATTTTATTAAATTTTATTAAATTATATTGTCAACAAAATTGAATTGTTCTGAAGAATTTTATCAAATTTTTCGAAAATAATTGAATTCATTTCTGCAAAGAATTTTTTTATTCATATAAATAATTGAATTACTGCGAAGAATTTCTTTAAAATTAAAAAAAAATTGAAAACAAAGAATTTTATATTAAAATTTTTGAAAATAATAAACAATATTAATAAAATTGTTATTATCGTTATTAAGAAGTAAATTTTATAAAATTTTGAATTTGTGCAAAATTTTTTAAAAATCGAACTTAATATTTAAAA